ATCATTGGCACTTGTAGGCCAACGTCAGCAAGCCTCAGTCAGTTTGGGGTACTGCGTTCGCAGGTCGTCTCAGTTGGTGGCACACCAGAGTGGATGTCAGCTCATGGGAGAGGCCGCCAGTTAAAAGGTGGAGACATCCACTGAGTGCCACTGGGTGCCACTGGGTGAAACAAGATATATACCTACACTGTGCCGCATTGTTGACCGGAAATCCAAGTTGAAATATGCGACTTACCGTACGAATGACATGTGCTGGCGGGAATGAAGCCTGCCGGCGCAGTCAACGCAGTGCGCAGTTTCAACAAAAAGTGTTTGGTTATAGCAGCAACGTCATGCGAGTGTTGCAAATGGTTGTTTATGTACTATACAGTATATGTAGAGCTAACAGTCTCCTGGGTTGCGAGTAGGTGTATATGACCAAGAGTAGCAGCACTATCTGGTAGGAATATATTGTGTAGGAGGCTGTCTTAAGTCGCTTTGGCGGAGGGATTTCACACCACCAAACGACAGAAAAGCACCAGGGCGTGGTATCATTTTTAGCACCAGCTGGCCCCCAGTCGTCCCTCATAGTCAGTGTTTGGTTCGACAATAGACCTCTCGCACCACCAGTCAACCGCGGTCAGTGCCACAGCTACCCGATGGCTTCTGGCAACGTATGTTGCTACCAGAGGCGAGGGTCCAATTGCCCGCAGGCTCCACCATGAAATCCAGAACCACACTATCCCGTTCGAAATACCAGTCCAGACTCAACTGAGGTTAGTGGGTTCTCCACTCCAACCAAGGGTTCCGGTTGTTGAAGTCGTACGGATTGTATACAGCTATTCAAGTTGTCCCAAGAGTGCTTCAGTCAGCTCCCCAGTGTAGGAACTTCCATCAAAAAGGTGACCCATCATTACAATCACCTTTAAGATGCGTAGACAGCTGATGGTAACTAATCGTGAAACTGTCTGTTACGGGTCGATCAGATATTGGAAACCGCCTATGATGAACGCCGCCGTGCAGAGGCCCGCAAAATGGTGTGTCAACCCTCCGACTACGATGATGGTCTGGGGAACTGGCTGCAGCGTGACAATCGCTTGAACACGCAACAACCCTAGTACAGCAGCAAAACCTTTGGGTGTTGCCACCCTTGACCTTTCCTGTTAGTAAGTGATACTAAGTAAGATAACAACGGCACAGCTTCGTCAAGCTGGGCGCTATTCATGAGGACTTACCTGTTGATAATTGTGGGTGTACGACAACCGTCATGGAACACCCTAGCGGAGAGCGTCAGCAATACTGACAGAAGATGTCTGCTCTCCTGCTAGGGTAAGGTGTCCTGTCTGTTCCGTGCCGTCAGAGACGCGAAGGATGCCTCCTGAAGGAAAGCCATTTTCAACGCGGCAGTGACCGTACCCCTTGTTACACACCAGGCGGATTGTCTCCCGAAGGTAACAACCAACCCCTGAGGCGTATGACATCGCGGTAAAGAGACAGCAAAAAGACACCATACTCTAGAAGAAGAGTAGTTAAAATGCGATGCATTAGACTATTTACTTTATATGGGCCACGTTTGTGTACCAACTGAGTCTAACTATTCGAGGAGATGCCTCCTGAGGGTCGAGTTGCTGGCAGAGGGATTTCGCACCGCCTAGCAACAAACAGCACAGCTTCGGAGGGTCGAGTTGCTGGCAGAGGGATTTCGCACCGCCTAGCAACAACTCCGCGGTCGTGGTTCCGTGTCGACGCCGACTGGCCTACACCGCCGTAGCGGCTACCCGTAAAAACGCAAAGCGCACGTTCCCCGAGTTGTAGCACCAGCAGACGGCTAGCGGCTCCCACAAGCGGGAGGTGAGAGTGTAAATCATACACCCGGTTAGTAAGTCTCCTTCGTCGCTTTGGCAGAGGGGTTTCGCACCGCCTAGCAACACACAGCATAGCAGTTTTCCTGCCATATGTGGTAAATCATCGAAAAGAAGTGCATAAGAACTGCCGCCACCCCCACTTGGTGGGCCCGTAGCGTCAGAGAGCGAGGCACCGAGGCTGAGTATATTGGCCGCCGACCCACCCGCTCAGTATCCTTCCAAACCACCAAAGTCTTCGAAGCTTATCGGTGGCAGGATGGTGCAAAGACGCGCTTTTACAAAGCCCCCCCGAAGTCTTCGAAGCTTGACGGGGGGAGTGAGTGGTGCACTGCAGTGACCCTACCTCTTGTTACACCTCCAAGCGGACGGTCTCCCGAAGGACCAACCCCTGGGGCGTATGACATCGCGGTAAAGAAACAGCCAAGACACCATACTCTATCACAAGGTGGGGCCATCGACGAATACACCATTTTGAGGCCGATCCCACGAAATGTGGACCCAAAGGTTTCACCACGACGTTTCGAGCACATCAATGGCGCAGAGCAGTGGGTCCACTAACGTTCGTCGGTTCAAGAAGGCGTAGCCCACTGCCCGATGCCACTACCATCTTGTGCCGACTCAACGCCTGCGCAACCCCTGTAGGTATCACCCGCCACTCGAGTATCGCAAAGCGCAGAGCTACGGGGGATAACAGGTGACTGTCGGTTCAAGATGGAGTAGTTTCAGGTAGTGGGGTCGAGCGGCCCTGAAGAAGCATCGGGGCAAATCCTTAGTGTTGTCAAAAGCACCGTTCAGTGTGAAGTACCGTGTTTCACGGATGCTAGTTCGGAACAAGCCCGATTTTTGCTTCCACAGGGTCTTCTCCATCAATCAGTTTGCTGGTTCCAACAGATTTGACGCTCCTTGGATGCTCACCTGTGGCATGTGACACTACGCTTGGTTTCCCAGTCGCGACTTTCGTCTGTTCACATGTAATACCGGAGAGACCAGCTCACGGGCTACCTAATTGCAGAAATATCAGTTTGTTTTTATGAGGCCGCGTGCATTTGTGTTTACATTTCTCCCCGTAAAATGTACGCAAGATCCGATTAAATCTAAAAACGCCGATCAAATCTACTTCTTTCACCCACACGACCTTTTGGAGCTTGCACGCCACATAAACACACGACCTCTGGGGCGCTATTGTGGTTTGCACGCTACGTCGTGGCCCTTGTGAAATGGCCACCGCAAAGAGTACACCGCGCCACTACCACGAGCGGAATCGCTGTGCAATAGTGGCCCTACGGTCAACTGGACGTCCACTCTCCAACGAGCTTACAAACACGTGAGATTGTATTTTTTCTTTGTGAGTTGTGACGGTTCTGGGGTCCAGTGTCTCCTACGTGGTGGCTAGACCTCCACCCCGAAGAAGATAACCACAGAAGATCATCCCGATGGCTCTCTATCCCTAATTGCTACGTTCCACCAATTTTCCCTACCCAGGATTGAACCCCCCACGCCTCATTCCCCCGTCCCTTTGTTTGATTCCTCCCTACCGCGCTATTCCGTTCGCGTCGGTCTCGTCAAGCGCGTTTTTTCTATCGCGTTCCATCGTCTAATTTTTTCTTTTTCCCTCGTCAAAACCTTTTTTTTTTTCCAATCTAAATATAGAAGCTTACTGATTGTTTATCGCGTACGCTGGCCATCCTCAGCGGTGGCTGTGGCCAGTGAAGATATATTGAGATTCACTTTAGATACACCGTTCTTAACGGGGTTGGTGAATGCAGGACATATTGGTTACGACGGAAATATCTCCACCAACACCAACTTCACTTGCACGATTTGCAATTATGCTGCCCCCACGTGCTCAAAAGTGATATTGGAGAGGGTCGCATTTATATGGAAGACTCATGCGTAGGATTAACAGAGGGAGGACTTAATCCCAGGCTTCAAGCATACGACTTCCACAAACGCTAACCGCAAATTGTCACAACAGATGGAGAATTGGTGTTGCCGAACTGATTTGTAGCTGTGTACGTTACGTTTGTCGCACAAGGAGACCGCAGTGAATGGCCATTCTCAACCGCAAATTAATCATTTCTCAGCCCGAATCGGGTCCATCCTAATCTGGCAGTATAGTCGTTTCCCTCCGATATTTGGCTATTGTCCCCTTTCCTCCTAGACCTTCGAACGTCCCAAACCACATATCGTACCTACCACTAATTGCCCCCGGCAGCTTTGGGTCTGGCATGCTCCTTTAGCCATTGAAAGAGAGTGTAAGGGTCTAGTCGGTCCCTGAGTCTTAGCATGCGAGTAGTTGGGAACATCCCAGTCTATTCTTTTGTTAGTGATACTAAGCTACTGGACTATTTCATATACTACAATGACGAAAACTTGTTGTACGACGTCACACACACCTGGAAAGGTAAGCATGGAAAACTTCCTATAATATGAAATTTTGTATAAAACCGTACTACGATGTGCTATCGAAATTTGTTAACCCTTCGATGCGTGATGTCATCCTACGGGTTCACTCCTGGGGTGCATAGTACCTAGGTCCTCCTCTTACTCCATATATTTGACCACCCCGTTTACCTGGGCTGTTGTCTATATACTGAATGTCCTGTATATTGTCACTCAGTCCTGTACATTGTATTTGGACTGGTAACAAAAGTTGGTCGTCGTTAAACACAGCACACAATGACACCAATAATCCCATGGGGAATAAGTTTTCTTTGATGCCGGTCATATGTTACTTAGATTTTTAAACGCGATAACTCTAGCTTGCTGGCACGACATTGCGAGCCCGAGCGCAACAAACTGAATGCAAGCTTTCCAACCAAATGAATTTCCCTTTGGTAACATTGTCAGTATTATAGCTGAGGCATTCGGGTATTTGGCCTTCAGGGAACATGTATGCCCTGCACATATTTTGAAGACTATATTCTGATACTCTAACCTTCGCTTGACTCTTCTTTCTCCTAAGCCAACATGAGCAATGCAGAATCACCTGGCCTTAACACTACTGTGAGTTGTTTGGAAATCGTCAAATTTTACCATTTCATAGTTGTTGAAGCCTGTCGCTGTCTCCCTTGACACGAGAACACATGCTCATTCATTATTGGATAAATGTCCAGTATATAATAGTACATCAACTCGAAATGATATGGGGTCAACTTAAAGTAACAAATGGATCATAGCAATACCCGCAATAGCATAAGCAGGAGCCAAGACTTTAGCCCCAGCTTCTTCAATGGGTTGTGGAGCCGGTGACACCGAAGCCAGCTTCGAGGCGGTTTCCACAGAGTCCAGTTGTTGCGACGATTTTGCTTGTTGTTCCAAAGATACTTCACTCACGTTACCGGTAAACGAGCTTGCCACCCCAACTAAAGAGGTAGACTTAGTTGGTTCTTGTGACGAGAGCACTGATTGGTCCAACACTTGAGATGAAGGTTCGACGACCAGAATCAGCAACTCCGATGATTTGGGTGCAGCAGTTTCGGTAGCAAGCTGAGCTTTGATTAGCGATGAGGGTATAGCATCGGTGACTTCTGAAGCTGGGGCCGTGGCTTCCACTAGGGGGACATCACCACCAATATCCCCACCGCCAAAGAGACCGCCCGGTAACACACCCACCAACGCAGCGATGGGGATAACACCTGAGAACTGGGAATAAATTGAGGAGTATAAGCCAATCACCAGCGTCGCTTGGGCGCCCGTCACCAGCTCAGCGGCGAGCATCTTCTGGTAGTTCTTGGGACTGGCCGTGATGTAGGCTTGGTCTCCTGAGGTAAAGCCGAGATCCAGATCAATACCAAATTCAGTATCACCCTTTACCGAGTCGATATTGATGGCCGACTCCGGCACCACCCCTTGGTATTGGGTGTAAGCCGCAGCGTATTGGTCCTTGTATTGGCTCACGATCTCAGGTACCGTGATCTCCAACTCCAGGGCCACTGCCAGCGCATACACATCGGGGGCAATGGTATAGTAAAACTGGCCCAGGGTAGACACGCCAAACTCGTTCAATTCGTCGCCTTGTTTACCCGCGATGACATTGGTACGCTTATTGAGGGTGGGGAACGCGGTGATCTGAGGCGCGGCCTCAGCCACCACCGCCCCAGCTAAAGCACACAAGCAGACAATATTCAACATAAGTTGGCAATTTGAGGTACATGGTGGTTGTTGTGATCATTTATATACAGCCCAGGAGGATGACGGCTGCACGCATGACATGGGTAAAACGTACATGAGGTACCTGAAGCGATGCAGCACCCCGAACCTAATTTTTGGGAGCCTATTCGGGACAAGGGGAAAACAGCGTCTTTGGCAATCACCGCCTACTCCTGCTCGCGTAGATGTCGTTATATGCGATGTCCACTGAAATCGGCCAAAGTTCGCACTAATTCGGAAAGTCGCGATGACGTGGGTGTGATTCAGATTTGAGGTGACATTGAGCAGTGACGCCTCCACTTACGATGGTGATGCCTTAGGAACAAATGAATAACGTCAATTTAGTCTGGGGTATACGTTGACGTTTGAGCGAACTCGCCATAATCGTAGGTATAAGGTCGCACCGGATTTGGGGCAGTGCGGGGCAACTTTGATCAGGTAGAGAGGCACGTACAAAAGCGCACGTAGAAAGTCTCAATGTGAGCTGATGTTTCACTTTTGTTTCTGATGAATATGATGCCGAGGCAACGAGATGCACTGCCGATGTGTGGAATTACGACGAAGCTTAATGCTGTGACGATCTATTCTTGCGGCGCAAGATGGTCCTTCCCGTTGGTGACTCCATCGAAACCAACTGTATAATTAGAGAAAGTAGATTCAAAAATCATGGATAGCATCTGATGTTGATGATGCCTTGCAGAGACAAGGCTCTTTTCCTCTTCAAGAAGGTGCCCGTATATAGGTATGTCGCAGATTTTGCGAGGCCACTGGTCCCGATTAGGCGGTGCGCAAACCCAATCCGTTACAGTGACAGCCACACACCGTGCGACCACAGAACGACATTAGGGCTCGGAAGTTGTTATCAAAGGTCTTTGGGACCAGCATTACTAAGGTAGCAAAACTAAAAGACGATATCGTAATTTACTTTGGGTCGTGGATTATGACTATTGGCGTTGGTTTCCGAGACTGGTCACTTCAAACTCGTATTAAAACTTCGTCACTGCATGCGGGGTTATCTCAAGAATCGAATGCCCAGTCGAAATATGCCCAGCGGCCAATTTGGTTGTCAAGATAGGCGTTAGCGGCTTGTGTAATCACTCACAACGAAGGATGGGGTGAACCGCAAATAATCCTCTGAGTCACCATGATTGCTACCGATATTGATCTCAATCGATGACGTGAGCTTTACAGTCAGCTTAATGGTCTTTCTATCCCATTTATCACCCAAGACTAGCGTTCAATATCTGGACAAACCCTAAACATTGTTTTGTGTTCCTCATAACCATACGTGGGTCGATTTGGTTTATTTTTGCCAAAGTCTGTCCAGAAGTCTATTGAACACAACTAAGTTTCATGGTCCATCAAAAATAAGGCGAAATACTTTAAGTTTATTCAACTTCTTCTGTCAGTTTCTTCAAGATTCCAATTGGGAATCGGTCCAAATGCGACCAACACAGTACGTCACCCAAAGCAAACAATAGATGGGTGTGGACGGCTATATTCAATGATCAGTATGACAAGAAACTGTGGCTGTTGGCAAAGGATTTGGCGTAGGATTGCTATTGAATCCTTGGAAGTTGTTGATCGCGAGAGACACTCACCTGATTTCCTCCAATGAAAACCCACATCTCGATTGTAATAACGAGTGTTTTGTTACATCACCTAGTTGAACCGATTGCAGAATTAGTCTCTTGGCTGAGGACACCACAACAATGATTATTGGGCTGGTGATTTGCTCATATCAATGGAGCATATTCACCAACGAATTGATTGATCCTTGACAATCATGGTAATGGAGAATTCTTTAGTAACTGTGTATATTGTACGGCAGCAAGATAGCCCCATCAAAGAACTGGAGAAACCCCTCATCAGGTTTGTTCATAATACTAAAAGAGGAAATGGATCCGTGGTTATGGTCGTGGGTAAGGCGACTATGCTGTTACTTTAAACGAAACATCGTTTCAGCAAGTATCTTTGGGCTAGTTCTCGTAATAACCACTTGATACTCGAGGACTTTGTCGAAGTTATCGAGGAGGAGAGCAATCGCGGTTATTTCGCCCAGTAACAGTTCTCAATAAGCACCATTGATTTATTGGACTTGTCAGCCAAGAGTGCTAGACTTTGTAATCGTATCGACGAAGAGTGGGGGCCCTTTTCACAAACACCAGTAACTTGTCTCCACACTCACTCTCAAAGGGCAATAAATATACCAACAATGGATGGCTGGACGTGGTTGCCATTGGTAAACAAAAACACAGACTCTTATGAGATAATAAAACGGGTTCAGGCTTACATTTCACTTGCCACTTGCCACTGGCGTCCTTCGCCATCAACATCCGTGCTGCAATTATTCATAGTGCGAGTGCGACCGACTCTTCAAGCGCGCACCACGAGACCCGCCGCAGCATTCCCAACCGATCCACTCACTTTGTCCCGCTGTCCTTTATCCATTGCATTGCCACAATTTCAATTCCACTGCATACATCTGACACACTTTTGAAGACCAATTAATCACGCCGTCTTCGCAACATGGCGACCCCAGCATCGTGGCGACAGTTCCAGCTCTTTGACTTCACCCCGATACGTGACCCGAACAGCTCCGCCGACGAGCCGGCGCTATGGAGTGATGCGTCAGTGTCTGCAATCACTGCCACGTCAGAGTATTTGATTGTCGCTGACCACAATGCATACCTCAAAGTGGCGTCCACCACCGACTTTACCCTCCAAGCGCAGTTTATTGCCTATGACCTCACCTACCGAATCACCTATGTCTATCCCGTACCCAATCTGACGATGGTGGTCACCTTGGCCGAGTACCAGGGGCAGCCAGCAGTGATTAAGCTTTGGGATTTGACCAAGATCGTCGGCGACAAGGGCGAGCAGGATCTCCGCTACCAGTACCACTCACAGGTGAGTGTCACCAACGGCAGCAACTCGTACCCCGTGGTGTCGTTTGACTTTACTCCCGATCTCGCTTGCTTTGCTGTCGGCTATGCTAACGGCAAAGTGGTGTTGGTTCGAGGAGATATATTGCGCGACCGAGGCAGCAAACAGCGTGTGGTGTATGAATCAAACAATCCGATCACCAGTGTTCACTTCCACCACGATTGGGAGTCACAGATCCTTTTTGTCACTACGACTCTGCAAGTTGTCACTGTCTTTACCGCCGGACGGAATCACGCCAAACCGCAAAAGGTGTTGCTGGGTCTGGGCGTTGACGTCCACTGCAGCGATATCACACCAGAACTGAATCAATTGGTCACAGGAACTCCAACCCACATCAACTTTTACGATCCACAAGCTAAAATCAAGGCGATCAAATACGAGATTGCCAAATCACGGGTAGTGAGTGTTGGCGAGAATTACTTACTTGTGGCCACCACGGAGGAGACGGGGGACCGCCACAAACAGCTTGTGTCACGGGTGATCATTTTGGACTTGAAGCATAATCATGTGGCATTTAATCTCTTGATTCCGCGAGCGATGATCCGGGACGTATTTGTAACCGGTCTCATCGTATACTTGCTGTGCAACGATGGCGTGTTATACAAAATCGAGGAGAAACCCATCAACCAGAAGGTTGAGTTGATCATGCAACGCCAATTGTTTCAAGTTGCGTACTCGTTGGCAGAAGACGCAAATCTTGGAGAGGCATTTTTGTTGAAGATTCAAAGGCTCCATGTCCAGTTTCTTTACGATGAGCAAAAGTACACCGAAGCAATCCAAGTGGCGATAAGCACTTTGGACTTATTTGTAAAGCCAACCACTATTGAGGATGAATTTGATGATTTCGTCATGTCCATCATCATCAAGTATAATGAAACGGGTAACATTGCTAGTCTCACTGAATTTCTTCTGGCGTTGTGGAAAAAGGGACTTGCCACTAATGATCACGTTACGTTATTGCTTTGTTGCTACTGCAAATTGAAACAATTGGATGAGCTTAATGAGTTCATTACCACCATCAACATTGATGATCCTAAACTTCAGCTGTTGGACTTCCCTTTGCTTATCAATCTTTTCAAGGAGTGTGGCTACTACGAGCTGGCGATCAAATTACTTCAAAAGCTTAACCAACCCAATTTAATCGTCGAGATTCAACTCAAGGATCTTCATCAACCTAAAGCGGCATTGCGTTTGATCAAACAGCTTCCAGTGGATGATTTGCTTTTAATCATGATTGACTACAGCAAGACATTATTGGACTACCATCCTATCGAAACTACCCAATTGCTTATCGAGGTATTTACGGGTCAATACTCTCCCGATACTGAAGTTGAAGACCATGCGGTGCTGGCAGCGCTGGCTCCGGAGGAGACCAAGAATGAAGGTGTAGTACTCACCAGTTACCAAGCGTTTGTCACTTATTTGCTGGGTCGAAGCGAACCTGATGAAGAACCAACTGAGGTGTCTAAAGCTCCCACCTATCTCCCTCCTCGGCCCCATCTCATTTTCCCTTCCTTCCTCAATCATCCCCATGAATTCGTCATTTTCCTCGAAGCGTGTCTTTCCAGTTATGATAAGTACCAAGGTAATGTTAGTGACAAGAAGGAGATTCTCACCACGCTATTGGAGATGTACTTGAAACTTGCTCATGGTGAGAATGGCGACGAATGGAAGAACAAACCCACTGAGCTTGTTAAGGCTCACGGTGGCTTCTTTGATGACCTGCAACTTTTACTTATCAGTCACATATACGACTTTGACTATGGCGAGATTGCTGCTAAGGAACAACTGGGATACCAGCTGAGTCTTTTTGCTCTGTACCAAGCCAATGGAGATGTCGCCAAGTGTATGAAAATTGTTAGGGAAGTCGGGTCAACTAAGCCTGAGTTCTACCCGCTTATGCTCAAGATGCTTGTCCTGCTGAAGGCAGCGTTTGACCAAGCGAAACCAGCTGATTTCCGGTGGATATTGGATGAAATCAAGAAGCATAAGCTCATGACTCCGCTCGAGATCCTTCAGACACTTACTCTGGGAGGTCAAGAATATGTCACGTTAGGGTTGGTTAAGGACTACATGATTGACTACATTGAACAACAACAGCGTGAAATCACCAACAACACCAAGCTCATCGAGCACTACGAACAAGAACTGTCAGCAAACTCCTTAAAGCTTACCGAGCTTACCTCGAAACCGTTTGTCCTTCAAAACACCAAGTGCAGCGAGTGCGATATGCGGCTTGACTTTCCTGTGGTCCACTTCAAGTGCAAGCATCTGTACCACCACAAGTGTCTCTCCAATAATCTCGTCGCCACCACACAGATCGCCAATGGCAGCGCGCGGCTGTCGTCAGCATTACACTGTCCCAAATGCTTCGGTCACGTTGATGACGATCGTGACTTCACGCTGACGGACGAAGTGGAGATGTTTGATCTGCTTTTAGCCAACAGCAACGATAAGTTTAAGGTGATCACTGAGTACTTGGGGAAAGGGGTGATGGAGTCGTCGCTGATGTGGATCGAAAGCCAAGGTGTTTAACCAAGTATTACTACTATATAGAAATTTGATATAAACACCAGGTTTGACCATTATCGTTATCAGGTCGCTACTATCTTTATCTTATATGACGGCTTACGTAAGCGACGCACTCGCCGGCAGACACTAGTTGTCACATTATCACATGGCAGCGCTTCGCCGTCTCCAACGCGTCACCGCACCCCATATTCCAATCGCCCGGACAAACGCCACTGCGGGCGAGGCGCAGCCGCTTCCCCTCTCGCGACCGCCACTGTTGGTTATAGCCCACACTAATCGACCATTGCTACCACCTTGATGGCTATCACCATCGATATTTGTAGCCACCGTAGCCGCCGATGTCATCTCGCTCGGTTTGCAGCCAAAGCACGCTGCATGCACCCTATACCCCGTTTAGGGGGCGGTCGTGTGAGCTGGTGGCGCCCCCCGTGAAAAATCGCCCGGCGGCAATTGGCTATCGCTGGGTACAAAGAGAAATTGTCGGTTTAGGCAATTGGCTCACCAAGTATTAAATTATCGATTGTTTTTCTATGGTCTGATTACTCTGGCCCCGATGGTATTTGCTCGGAGCAAGCGATGGCGTCCGGTGCGCACTGAGTTGTACGGTTGCCACTGACCCCCCCAACCACTGAGTACAGTGACTAATCTTTCCAGTAGTGTGCTACCCGGCGGTGTCATTGCTACCCATGACTAAACCCTGATTTGTGGCGGCGATTTTTCCCCAATTAGCGATGCGGGGCGCCTCAATCTCCCGATCGACCCTCGGTAACCTCGACGGTGAAATTCACGCCACAGCCAAATAATGCACTCCCCCCCTCACTCCGACTTTGACCCATAAACCACCGCCACCAGTTTTCAAAACAAACAACGTAGAAAAATCAATCGATTACGCTCCAATTGGAATTTACACCACTACTACATCCCCCTAGTTTATCTCCGTAGACCCCCTCTCTACCCCCCGCCTCTCCCAGGGTTGCCCGCTCACCTCGTTTGCTACAAAAAGTATGTTGCGCGTAGTCTGGCGTAAGGAGGCCACGCAAATTTTTCTCCTGGTAACCACTCGTCAAACTTGCCACCCACGATGTCGACGTTTAACGATTCCACCTCGCTGTACTCGGGTGCCACTGGCGCTAACCCCCCTCGCTACTCGTCGGGGGTGGCCGCCACCACTGGCTCCGCCGGCGTTTCCGGCACCTCCGCCGCCCACCCTTCCGCCGCCGCCACCCACCCTGCCACCGGCGTCCCCGGCGCCGCTGGCGTCCCCGGCGCCGCTAACAACTGCCTGGTGTACCAATTGATCACATGGCAAGACCCCGTCAAGACCGGTAAGGTGTTCGGGTCGATCATCCTCACCTTGTTGGCGTTCAAGGTCGGCAACCCCATCAACTGGTTCTTCCACATTGCCTACATCGGGTTCATCCTTGCCGCCGTCGCCGAGTACGGTGGCAAGTTGATCAACGGCCAAGGCTTCGTCTCCAAGTACAAGCCCCCTGCCCACAAGAACATCGCCCCCAAGTTGAAGAGCGACATCTTCCCCGCCTTGGCCGACGCCATTGGCAAGTTTGAAGACAAGCTCTACCGCGTCGTCTACGCTCAAGACTTTGAATGCACCTTGAGAGCGGCGGCGATGCTGTACCTCATCTTCAAGCTCACCTCGTGGTTCTCGATCTACACCCTCATCTTCATCGCCGTCGTCGGTGTGTTCACCGTCCCCGCGTTCTACGTGAGAAACAAGAAGGAAATCGACGCCGTGGTGTCGCAATACTACCGTTTGATCAAGTCGAAGACCGCCGAAGCCACCGCTGACATCAGAAAGCAAGTGCAACCTTTCGTCGACAACTTGGCCAAGAAGTCGGGCCCCCTCGGCAACTTTGTCCAACTGAAGTTCCCCACCAGAACTGCCGGCTCCACCGTCGGTAACAACACCGCCACCTCGTACGGCACCGGTGCCGACGCCCACGTTGGTGCCTCGTCGGGCATCTCCACCTCGGCCACCTCGGCCACCCCCAGAGCCGCCCCTGCTACCCACTCCACCTCGTCTGGTTTCACCAACTCCACCACCTCGGCGTCGCTGTTCCCCTCGGTGCCCAAGTCGTCGCTTGACCCCGCCGGCTCTCTTGGCTCCACCGGCTCCACCCACGTCGCTTCCCACACCCCCGTGTCGTCGGGATCCACCTACGCCTCGTCGCACGTGGCCAGCCACACCCCCACCGAGGACGAGTTGGACCAATTGGCTCGTGACATCAACGCCAACGCCCCCACCAACAAGTACTAATTTTTTGGTACTACGTATGAAAGAGTAAGTAAAAATATATTACGTGAGTCTTGCGTGAAATTAGGTTCTAGTTTCGTCTACCGCCGCTTGTAGATACACGGCTTGAGCAACCACTCCCCTTCCGGTCTCTGCTGGCGTTTCTTGTCAAATTCTTCCTTGTCCAGTTCCCTCTCGATAAATTTCTTCTTCCGCTGTAATCTTGCTTCCCTTTCAGCCACGATATCCGCTGACGGCTTAAAGAACTCAAACCTGGTGAACATCTTATTGTCGTTATCAGTGTGCTTGTGGAAGAAGCCCTGGTGCTTCAACGCTTCGACAAATTCGTCGCCGTTGTCGTCGGCGAATCTCGACTTGATCTCGGCAATCCACAATTCGCCTCGAGGAGCAAGAATACGGTGGGCTTCGTTGATGAAATCAAGGAAATTGGTACCCATGAGGGCAAGAGAAAACACCACGATCGAACACAGCTCGTCTTCAAGAGGCACGTTCTTGATATCGGCCACGGTGATGTATTTATTTTGCTTCTTCAAGTCAAATGAGTGGACGGTGATATTGGTTCTCCGCTTCCCCTTCTGTTGTCTGACGAACTTCGCCACATCCTGAGCAAGCTGAGCCTCGCCACACCCCATGTCGGCAATCACGACTTCCTTATTCGCCATTCCGGGAAGCCCACCGGGAGCATTGACGGGCTTCTTCGCCCGCAGCTTCACTTGGTTGACAAACACTTCCACGGGGTTCTCGGGCCACAGCTTCACTTGTTCTCTGAAACCAGTGTGGTACTCTTCAAAGAGCTCAGGTTGTTTGGTTATAAGGTCAAGAGCGGCCTCGGAAGTCGTGGTGTAGAGCTGTTCGTTGATCCACCGAAAACGGGACCCGGAAAGCTTCGCAAGCATCTTTTGCTGGAGCGGGGTGAGCTTAGCTGGAGCCGGCGCCGGAGCCTGAGTCGAAGCAGACTCATCGGAATCCTTAGCTTTCTTCAGTTTCTTCAGTGGTTTGGTCTCCAGTTGTGTTTCATTGTCATCGGTGGCGGCATCAGCGGTGGTCCCATCCTCTTCAGCTTCCACTTTAGACTTTTTCAGGCGAGAAGTTCCGGTAGCTTCCTCCCTTTCCCGCCGGCGCTTCTCCCGCTTTTCCTTCTTTTTCAACGACTTGGAAGCCCCCGTGTCTTCAACCACCTTGGTAGCGTTGACGTTCCATCCCTTGACTTCGAACAACGGCATGGCGATGAGATGAGTGCGCTGCGATCTGATAACGCATCCCCATAATCACAGAATTGGAAATTTAAGAATTGATGAGGATACAAGAGATGCTTACCATCTCGACTCTAGGAAAAAGCTCGAATTTACCTCATGATCTCCATTACAAGAATTTCAACTTTCTTTATCTCTATCAATGTTTGAGCTGAATGATGGCGTATATGGGCTGATCAAACCATATAGACCAATTATCAGCTGGCTTCAGAGTTATCATCAAATTATTTGGTGGTGCAATTTTCATTTGGCTGCCACTTCAAACGCCGGTCAGCTAAGTCGTGCATCAGTTACCGCTTTTGTACCCGTCACTTCGGTGTTCCTTATTAATGCCTCACTGACATCATCTGGAGGGGATGAAAAGAAAAAAGAAGCATCACCACTCAGAGCCCCACTTTTTGAGATCTTCAGTTATTTCAAAAACATATTGGTTGTGGAAAGGGAATCCCTACTATCCGGGATTTGTTAGCCCGGAGAAGAGGCCTTGGCGAAACCCCGAGTACCCGCGATCGGTAATGGCAGCCAAATCAATATGCGGTGGTAGTTTCGTCACTACCAAACACCTACTAAGAAAAATAACTACCACTATGCAATAGTCACCCTTGTAAAATCACCCCCCTCCCTATGACTTTTCCCTTTCTTCCTCCATTAACCTGCAATGGGGTGTCGCCATGCTCCGGACTGCCGCTAGCCCTCGCTGTGGGTGCGCGCATATTTGCCAGCGGTTACCCTTATATCCGGAGCCATATAGCGAACGACGATCAATGAAGTGGCTGATACCGTTGTGTGCGCTCATCCTGGCGGCCGCGGCTAACACCGTCGGCTTCAACTACAAGAAGTCGCAGGTGTGTGCCGGGATCTACTCCAAGGACGACTGGGGCGGGAGCCACCAGCCCAGCGTCGAGCTCCAAATCAACCAGTACGAAAACAAGAAGTATAAAGAGGGCGAGGAGCCCCGACCTGTCCCCGACATCGACGTGCTGTATATCATCTTCGAATACCGTGACTTGGAACACATCGGGATCGAGGTCGACGGCAAGCGCCATTATTTGTGCAACAAGGACATGATTGAAAAGGGGGTGTGTACCGAAGAGCAAAAGGGCAACTTCATGTACCAGGGAGGCAACCACACCCTGACGATCATGACCGGTCAGCTCAATCACTTGGGTAAGGCCAACCTCGAGTACAATGTCTCCAAAACCGGGTACTACTGCGTGAGCACGGTGCTGATCTACCAGCGCAAGTACTCGGGCGAGGTGCTGTTCCAGAACGCGTTTGGCTACTTGAGTGCGTCGGAAGTGCCCAAGTTGCCCGCGTACGGGATCATGTCAATTCTCTACTTGGTCGCCCTTGCGTTGTTTGGCTTCCAATTCTTTAAGAAGCGGAAGCAAAACCAGATCTTGCCGTTGCAACGCTACTTGCTCGCGATGTTGGGGTTCTTGACGTTTGACTCGATTGTCGAATGGCTGTACTACGACTTGCTCAACAGCACCAGAAAGACCACTTCGGGGTTCAACATCTTTTACATGATTTTTTTGCTGTTTCTCAACGCCATCAAGATTTCCGGTACCTTCTATATCCTTTTGCTTATCGCTATGGGCTACGGGGTCGTGGTGCCTAAGTTACCTAAGAAAATCATGCTTCGGTGCAAGATTCTCGCTGGCGCTAACTTTGTGGCGCTGATGGTCTACCTTATTGGTACCTACTACAGCGGTTCGATCATGTCGATTTCGCGGACTACCGACATCGAGGACAACAATCTTGGCGGTATTTGGGGTTTGTTTGCGTACATTCCCATTGCAATTACCATGACTATTTACTACTTCTTCATTCTTGTGTCGATTAGAAATACCATCAAGGGCTTGCAAGAGCAGCGCCAAGTGATCAAGTTGCACCTCTACGAAAACTTGTTCCGCATTGTGTTCTTCCTGGTGGTGTTGACGTTCGCCGGGTTGGTGTTGTCGCTGTTCATCTTCTTGCTGATGCTGAGCACCGAGTTGATGGAAGAACACTGGAAGGGTACCTTCTTCATTTACGACTTCTGGCCGTCGGTGGTGTTCTTCATCGTGTTCTTGGGGGTGGCCTGGTTGTGGAGACCGACGGAAACTTCATACATGTTGGCGATCTCGCAACAGTTGTCTGCCGACGACCCTGAAGAAGACGAAAACGGAAACTACCAAAGAGGCCACGAATTCGAATTGGACGATTTATCGCTTATGAGTCACTCCGATGACGAAGCGGGTGGTGATGCAAACCGCAACCTCCGCAACGATCTGCTCGATTTGCCTCACGACCAAGCTCCTGCCCACAAGAAGACGGAGGAGGAGAACCCGTTCGAAGATGCTGCCACCTTGGGTACTCTGGCGCCATTGGAACTGTCATCGACCCGTCGGTCCAATGACAATACTCTCTTCGAGTTGGGCGACGATGACTCCGACCATGAAGACGACCGCTTAAACGAGGACGCTAATGAAGACGATCGTTTAACCGACACCAATGATAAAAAAGACCACCCCCGCAAGGATGAATAGAATCTTTATAACGTACGTTTCTTTTGTAATAGTACAAACCAGCCACGCTTTTTCAGTCCACCTGCCACATCTTTATGGTGCGATCCCAGCCCGCCAGAATAAGCTTTCCACCATCAGTAGCAATATCCACCGACATCACCTTGTCGGTGTGACCTTCTAAGCTAGCGACTTTAATCCACAGATCAGCATTGTGGACGCCCACCGTCCAATCGTAAGAACCACTAACTAAAAACTTACCCTCAGCAGAGAATGTGGTGGGGTTTTCGTCATTCTCATCCGTAAACGTTTGCGGCTTAGGAAGCTTACCATAATACCACTTGACGTCACTAACGAGTTTAGTGTGGGCGGGGATAGTTGCCAATTCTTGGTTCTTAGCATCTAATCGCCTCATATCCCATATCTTGACGGTGCCATCTCCACTAGCCGTGGCCACAAGACTATTAAATGGCGAGAAATCAAGTGAGTAGACGCCAGACGCATGACCATGTACGGTAATAATGTTACGACCACTGCGTAAGTCCCACCACCTAGTAATCCCGTCTAGACCACCCAGAGCCACCACTGACCCATCAGGGTGACAACCAAGACCGTACACTTCACGTGAGTGACCCTCAAATGCACAGAGTTCTTCTTGTTTGGTAATATCAAAGAGCTTCCAAGTGTGATCACTTGACGCCAGCATCACATACTCCTTGATATGGGGGTGAACCACTACTTTAGTGATTCGGTTTTCATGAGCTTCAATGGTCGTCAGTGGGTGTAAGTATTCCTCACCCACTTTCCACAAATTCAATTTGCCTTCACCGCCCCCTGTGATTAATCGCTGAGAGTCAAGCCACAGAAGCCCGCTTACTTTCTCGCTATGGTGACCAGGTACCGATTGGTGTTTCACTTGTAAGTTTTGTGGGTCCATGATATAGACGCAACCGTTCCACAGGCCACAAGCAATAAGTTCATTCGATGGCAGGTAGCGAGTGACAGAAATAGCCCGCGTATTACCCGTTATTGAAGCAGTTCCAGCAATGGCTAATGACTTTAGGTGGCTGGTAAGTGATCTTCGGAATTTGAGTAGTTGTACTGGATGGGTCGTCTCCTGTTGGTAATGAGCGTACTCTCGTTCCACTCTAACCTTAGCCTGGGGGAGAGACAGCTGTAAAATTCGATTGCGCACATCCACAAGCAGTTTATTACCCGGGGTATAGTAATCTTCCTCTTCGGCATCTTCTTCTTCGTCAGCCATCACCACATCGCCATCGACAAAGTGGTAATCGAGTTCCTGCGCCTTGGCAATGAGCCGGTCTCGCCGGTCGCCAATCGTCTCACCAGCAACAACCTCTGGCTCGCCAAACTGGATCAAGTGGTGACGAACATCCTCATCGAGCGTCGGCACCTGCGAGGTGTCGTACACAGAGATAACGTCATTGACCACGGGAAGGTCCATCGTGCGGCGCGCACTCTCGACGGATGCTGGTGTATATAAAATCTAATGACTACAAGTGCTGTCAGATTGCTTTGTATTAATCGATGCTAGCCACCATATTATATACTGACGAGTTAAGCACTAGCACGCAAGGTAAAATTTGATGCCCATGAAGCGGCAATATTCGAAAAACTCTATAGTGTATTAATGCAAGGCGAGATCACTCGCGGGCGGCCTCGTTGACGAAGGGGTGCTTCAAAGCTTCCTGGGGAGTGAGCCGTTCCACCGGGTTGAGATTGAGTACTTTAGTGAGAAAGTCAATAAGTAGCATGCGTTCTTCCGTTTCCTTTTCGATCATGCTCAGGGTCATCTTCTTCAGCGGCATCTTGTAATGAAGAATGATGTCTTTCAAGGTCCGCTGCTTGAAATAGTTCTTGTTGGGCTGTTCCTTTTTAAGGGCGTCTTCCTTCCCCTTTTGTTGACGTAAGAAATTGAGGTATTCATCATAGGTCTTGATGCGATACACCGGCTTGCCGTCGGAGTCAATACCCAGTTTGGTGAAGAAGTTCATCAGGTTACGACCCACTTCGATCATGTGGCGCGGCGGGTTGCCCAAAATGTCAACGATCTTCCAGATTTGATTGTACTCCAGGGTGCCGGGGAACATTGGAAGCCCCAAGAAAAGCTCACCAACAATGCAACCTAACGACCACATGTCAATGGCCTCGGTGTAATGTAGCCCAAGGATAACCTCGGGCAGGCGATAGAATCGCAGCTGAATGTAGGTGTAGATTGTCTGGCGGGTATAGCAGGCCAGACCGAAATCAATCACCTTAATGTCGGGTTTGTCGGGCTTGCACAATAGAATATTCTCCGGTTTTAGATCGCAATGTATTATCTGGAATCCCTTCAACTGAGCCATTGCTTCAAGCAACTGGCGAGTGAGAAGCTTTACGAGTTTCATGTTGAGCCCCTGGAACTGGTTCTGCTTGATTAGCTCGTAAAGATTCAGAGCAAGCTGTTCAAACACAAGACAAAGATGCTCCTTGTGCATGAATGTGTCGAGAATGCGGATAAAGTAGTGGCCATCGGAGTGAACATTGAGGAACTCAAGAAGTTTCACTTCAGTAAGACTCTGGTTCATATATGCCGGCTTCAGCTTGATGATTTTCACCGCCACAATCAGTTGATTGGCCAAGTTCTGGCATTTGACGACCTGACCAAAGGTACCCAGACCCAAAAGATCCAATACGATGTACTTGCGGCCTTCCTCAGCACCAAGCACGTCGTTCACGTACAAGATGTAGTCACTGTCCTCATTATCATAGCCATTATTAAACTTAGGCTCCAGCGGTTTCGTGAGCACTCGTTTAGGGTTGGTCAGCTTATTGTATTGGAACTTGCGCGGTTGGCAAATCAGATACAGCTCGGTGAGATACACCAGTAACGCGTTCACGGGCGAGATGTAGTGGCCGGTAGCCAGGGCCCGGCGATATTGGGGTTGACAGTGGATGCGGGGCTTTAAGTCAAGCTTGGAGTACACTTTCACCGCACGCGGCGCTGGCTTGCGCCGGGTGGTGTGGCGGCGTTGCTGCTGTTGCTGTTGGTATTGCTGGAAGGCAACAATCAGCAGTTGGCGCACCCCGGCGCGAGCAGTTCCTGGAGATCCTGGCGATGTCGGCGGCAAATGAGGCTGGTACAGGCCCAGGCCCAAGTTGCGGCGGTCCTGGAAATAACCCCCCACTGCGATCAGCAGGCGCCGGTTCATTTGCTGTTGATTGAACAACAGCTGCGACTGGGCCGCTGGCGGCTGAGGAACGGCTCCCGGGGCTGGAGGCGGCGGTGCCGGATACCCTTGCTGTTGTTGTTGTTGGTATTGGAAGGCGATATGATCGGGGATCGCCGCTGTCAGCATGCGGCGGTCATTATGGAGCTGGACGTCTTGGTTGGTATAGTACTGACTCTGGTTAAACGGATTTCCTGCCCGTATCGGGGGGTGGATGAAAGCAGGGGCGTTTTGAGACAATCGGGCGACGTCCTGGTCGTACTCGTAGGTTGTGGGAAGCTGGTTTGCGAACAGGAGCCGTTTCAGCGACAGCAGGTGGCTGAGGAGCGGGATCGACTTCGTAGGCGAGTGGGACAAGTTGGGCAGCCCTAAAACGGTGGGCAGCATGCCGTTGGAGCTGGTCTGGGGGCTGCCATGGGGCAGGCCTTGCACTGGCTGGGAGAACCACGGGTTGCGGAACCCCGGCGCCTGGGACGGCTGCCCCGGCTTGTCCTGGGTATTGTCGGGATACCCTTGCGGCGGGGGCAACTGCCAATTGCCTCCGATCGAGTTGTGCCGGTAGTTGTTATAGTTGTATGCCATCCAACACAAGTCGTCCGCCCTTTAGGGTCGAGATTTTTTGTGGTGCGGGTTGGTGCGTCGAAGCAAGTAACCGGGAGCAGGCGGGGACAACTGAGGTGCGGCTCGCCACTGAATTAATGGAGGAGAGCGGGACGTGTTTGACCGTGTGTGTTTTTGTGGTGGGGGTAAATATATGAAGAGAACAGTATCAATATGTCCCACCAGTTTAATAAGTGAAGGTAAACCAAGGGTGGGGTGTTGTCCTCTATGGGGAGTGTGTATTGGGTGTGGGTGGTCTTAGGGAGGCGTCGGATCGGTGCGACCTTGGCGAATTGGTGGGGAACAATTAAGGGTGTGAGAAGTGCGAGCGAGGGGAAAACTATGATCACCACCGCAAAACAGAGCGGTGCTTTTGCTGATGATATTTGACAGAATAAGACTGAGAGTGTTGAAGGGAAAGTCTCTAGGAAGCCAAGAGGATAATGCGGGGTCGGAGGCATGGCCTGACGCGTAGTGAAGCTTATTCGCATCCGGGAATAAGGTCGGCTTGAGTCATCACCGTGCGCGCAGAAGAAGAATCCAGGGGTGTGGGGGCGGGTCTAAAGGCGGGCACCTCCTACGCATGACAATCCCGTACCCATCTCGACGACAAACCTTTAGTAATGGTCTGCACGATAAGAGTATAGACCAAAAACTCTTCAGAATCATTCTACCATTCTTAAATCACTAAAGTATACGAAACCTAAAACTCGTGAAGAATATCTCGTGTTTTGTAATATTGATTTTTCAAACGTCGTTTCTTTCATGTGACGGTAAACCCTTTTCGATGATAATATTCGGGTTTTTCATCGCTTCATGTTGGCACTACCGTTTTTGTCTAGAGGGTCGCAATCGGCCCAAAACAGTTTGATCTGACCCTCGCACTAAGATCAATATCACTACCATATATACAGATCACATGGGATGGATCTCCACTTGATCGAGGTCATTGCCCACTCGCTCCTCAGCGGAGGGTTGGACAATCTCAACGACAACTTCGAGTCGCTCAACAAGTCGCAGCTCATCCTTCTTACGCGTCTTGATCTGATCGAGGCCCACCTCAACCAGTTGAGTCAGCAGGTCGACGCCACCGCTGTCCCTGAAGCTCGGGTGCAGCAGATGTTAATGCGGATCAAAGCTATTCGGAAAAGAATAAAATTGGCATCGAAGACATTGGCAAAAGTGGAGAAGCGCTTGGACAAGCTAGACTCATGAAATCTACTTCAGCATATCCCTTACATACACCTGGCATTCTGGAAAAGTACAATTCATTACACGGCAATACGGAAACGAAATATATATTACATCATCAAGTCGTACATGGTTAGCCAAACCATCACCTAGAGATGGTCTGGCATTTCATCTTCATTATCTTCATTGCGGGCTGGTAAACGCTGGGAGCCCCCGCCGCTCAAAGTGGCGGGCAATTTCGTCTATCATCTCCGGCGTCACCCCGTAGGTCTCGCGGACTAACGGATTCTGCCTGATCTCCAGCCTGTGTCCGTATTGACCGAATCTGAGGAAAAACTCAATCTGCTTCGCTGTGTAACGTGGCAACGGTTCGTAAAACCCAACCTTTTCCAAACACCAGCCAAAAAGCCCTCGTTGCGGTTGTTGGTCGACAATCGCTTGTACTATAGACATGTCAATGGGGACTTTCCGCCGTTTGCGGGGATGCTCCACCGATGGAGATCTCCGACGTTTGTTGCTGGTGTCAACGGCGGGGTGGCGATCCCTTGTAATATCGACATCCCGAGTTTTAGAATTAGAATTATCGCCCAGCGTCTGAGATACGGGTGGCATTGGAGATAACCCTTTATCTTCAAAGAGCTTCTGAACCAAATATTCTCTTCCCTTAGAGTTTCGAGAAGGCGTTTCCTTCGGCACGTTGTTCAACTTCGACGCATCTTGTCTTTTAAGAGTGTCTTCTTTTGGAGTAATCTCCCTGACATTGGCAGTGCGAGACAGCCCTTCCATCACTTGATCGATATTATCGAATCCCACTGTGACACGAGTAACTTCAGATGAATTCTCCCTGACCTCCCCATTGATTGAAGGATAATCTTTCCTCTGCTGGGTTTTGGTTCCGGAGTGGATATCTGTTCCAGCTCGTTTGCGTCCTATCGAACGTTCACCACCAAAATCATCTTTGAATTCATAAGCCTTCGGTTTGGGTCTAACAAACTGATCATCAACGTCGGTGAATCTGGACTCGTTAAATCGGGTAACTGGTGAACGAGTGGGCTCCGCCAATCTTGAACGCCGACCAGATTTGGATGACATTTCAATCAATGGAGCTAATTTTGAGGGTGCTTCCTTCCCTCTGGATTCTGAGTTTGAAGGTTTGGTCAAAGTATAGTCATCATAGTCGCGAAGTCTTGATTTCACTGGAGTAGGCCTCAATGCAGTGGGGTAGGTACGCTCGTGAGTTCTGTCATGAGTACGGTCTTGAGATGGTAAAGCCATTTTGGATGGCGTAACATACGGAGGGTTTCTCCGAGAGTATAAATCTCTTTTCACGCTTGTGGCTTCTCTTGATTCCGGCCTAGGCCTCGACGTCAAGCGGTCGAAATCAAACCTCAGTGGTCTCAGATCTCGAGGAAGTTTCACCCGTTCAATCAGCACCGGATAATTTGACGAATTCAAATTATTCGTTTTCAATTCATCGGTCTTCGTATAAAGACTGCTTTTGGCGCGATGCAACACGTCGTCAATACGTTGCTTGATGGGAGAAAGATCGTCCGACGAAGGCAAATGCGTTATTCCCGGCAGATGATCCCTATCCTGTCCAGCAGGAGGCTTAGTAGATGTGTACCTATGGTTGCTGAAAGTCATCTCCGAAACTGGCGACAGCTTGTGGTTGTCAATATCTAACAGTTCGAAAAACAGTTTCTTTTGTACTTTGGCAGCTGCTACCATAGCTTCACTCTTCTTGGGTTGTTCCGCGTACCCCAAACGATTTGATGGTCGATTTTGACTATAATCGGGAATGGTTTCAATTGTCACTGGTCTTCGAATAGGCTTATGAATCGGAGGTATGGTGGAACTCGCTAAGCCATTTGATGCAAGATTGTCCGAGGGTTCATGTTTTTCGGGGCTAACCGTATCTCTCTGCGTTGGCTTCGATGATCCGTTTGAGTGGTGTACAGTTTCGGCTGGAGGGAAATTGAAATTGTAGTTTGATCTCTCGTTGGTCACCGATACTTTTGGTAACAGAGGTTCTGGAGCCTTGGCCGGTTTTGGCGGAGCAAGTTCGCTCTGTCGTAGCAGTTCGGGGATTCTCACCTTTGGTAATTCCTCAGCAGGCCGTATCAGGGGAATGGGACCAAGATCAAGGGATGAGTGGCGCTTACCACCAGGAGGTCGCGTCGCAAGCTTGGGTGGTGATCTCGCCGGCGGAGATGGGGGTGGGAAATTCAACGGCTCGTCGTTGTTATTCTCAATACCACGACGGGGAGACAGGTAGAGGTCATCCTCTTCAGGTATCGGCAGTGCAACCACTTTCTCCTTAGCGGGAGTTGGTACCCGTGCATTAGGTGGTCGCAGACGGTGGTGAAGCGGCAGTGATTGCCCTTGTTCCCGAGATCGCAGCCCTGCCACAATCAGGGCGGGAGTAATAGAAAACTCGGAGTCGTAGTTGTCCTGTTGCTGGTGCAATGGTGACGGTTGGACCGGAGCCAGCGACAGAAGCGGCCGCTGTTGCTGCTGCTGTTGTTGTTGTTGAGCCTGCTTCGCCTGTTCCAACAAACGAGCAACATCACTGCGACGTACAATGCGTCCATGAGGGGGAGTCTGCGTCAGAGCTCGTAAGGATACCTTTTCCGGTGACAATCGTCGCAGTCTGGTGATGGTGGTAGAACGCCGGTACTGTCTTGCCCAGGGTTGTCGCTTCGGTGCCAGCTGGCCATTTGCAGCCGGTGGTTCGGGCGCAGGACGATGCCTCCGCTGAGGAACCTCCCGAGACCGACCAATCGGTCCGGGATTGTCGTGGGAGTCGGCGGCCATAGCCTCTTCTTTGGGTGTGCTTGGGGAGTGACGCGGTGGGAATCACTAAACGCGGAGGCTCAGTGCGAAAGATGAGCGCGGGAAGACGTGTCAGTAAACGCGTAAACGGGGGAGGTTTGATGGCGCCTAATCTGTAATGAAAAAGATGAAGGCAAAAGTAATGCTAAATTATTGGCACGCCCGTCTACTGATTGAGCAACAAATGGGGTTTGTACGGTGCACGTGTACGGTGTAGTCATTTGGTGTAGTCATTTGGTGTAATTATTTGGTGTAGTGATTTCATAGCGAGGAATGCGTTAACTATTGAGGTTGCACCAAGGATGCTGCTCCATCGCAAATCAAAACGAAGTCTTGTAATATGACGCCACCTTGATATAAGGATCAGTATATTTTTTTTTTTTTTTGATATTCTGTAATTTTCATTTTCAATCTCACATTTACGCAACCGTCCCAGTTTTTAATCACCTCCCTGTTGCGCGTTGCGATCGCTTTGCAAGTGATACTAAATTGACTTATAACGCCTGGTTTCTGTCAATTCCAATTGATATCATCCATGATACTGCTTAGGTGAGTATCGGCAGCAAACTTATCATACTTGAAAGGCTATTATACTTTCAATTGTCGCAATCACGCTCAACCGAAACTTCATCAATGAGAATGAAAATCCTAAATTCGTGAAGATAATGATTATTGATTTGTGAACAATCTTGGACCTAATTTATATGACTGACCTCCAACAACTGTCCATTATGAAATTAGAATCCAGGAGAACTTTTGCCTGGCAATTGTTGAGGTTATCTTTTCAAGGAGTTGGATGATCCTCCACCAGACAAACCCAGCTTTCCAGTGTTGATGTTGGCTTTACCTTTTACGATAAGGTTGGACAATCAGTCTAAATTTGAAATACGGACGACAGCGTTACACAAATCCGGGCACAATGTTACGCATATCGTCGTTCGTTCTCAGCCTACAAGTGTAACTGCCTTGAGCTTGATTCAGTAACGATTGGATATTGAGCGGGGGGCTAGATGCATCTGTTCTTTTTGCGGATAACTACCATTCATCAGTGTTTGATTTCGAATTTAATCATGGACAAGCTCTTTCTTCGTCGAAGAGACGCTTTTCATTTCCCTTCTGGTCCGTACACTGGATGACATCTTCCTATTCACTGACGAAGATACAACTCAACTTGATATATTGCGGACCAACATAATTGAGACGAAACCACAAAAATAATCTAAATTCCATGAAGGTTTGCGTGTCGTGTTAAGCAACTTGATCTCCGAAGAGTGTTTTCGTGGATTCATTTATCACATCTTTGAGCCATGAAATCCCATCATGCGCAGGGAAACTGCCAAACTTCATAATATTTTTGTCATTGTAATATATATATCATTTGTTACGGAGGCGAACATAATCAGCAGTACCTGCTCCATCTAAATCAATTGGAGAAACTTGTACGGGTACCCCAACCCCTTCATACCAAACACCGACAACAACATGCTGTACACCACAAAGATGAGCACCAGCACCACGGCGACACCAATCAAATTGGCCGCAGGGTTGGTCACAGTGGGGACACCCTTGATCAACAACACCACCAAAAGCGTCAACAACCCGTAGATGAGCGACACAATTTGGGTTTCAGCACCCAATTGCATTTGCGATTGGCCCGACAAGATGTAATCCTTGTGGCCCAGGGAGTGTTCCCGAACGTACGGCACGTTTCTAATCTTGGTGAACATGTACCCGGTGGTGAACATCAACACAGCAATAATGGAAAGACCGCTCCAGATCCACGACGCCGCCCACACCGCACCATAACGGTTGTAGATTTTGTAGAGGGCAATGGTCACCGCCGCAACCAATACGACGTTGGTGATGACCTGCGAGTAGTCCTTAGGGATGTGCAATGAGAAGTCAACTCCCAGTTGCTTCTCCACCCACTTGTGCAAGTCATGCTGTTGGTCCTCGCCCATGATGGCGTATTCTTCCATGTCCTTCATCCAGTTTGAGGCCTTGTCCTGAGCCAGTAACGAGTAGAACTTAGGGATCAGCGAAAGCTGTAACTTCTGGAATAACGTCTTGCAGTTGACAAAGTCGGCGGCGAAAAAGAACACTTCCGGTTGAGAAGCGTCTTCTGGAAGCCCCAGCGGGAATTCCAGGCGGTAGGACAGGGAAATGACGTCGTAGTAGGGTCTCATCTCGTTACACAACACGCAATTGACCTGAGTCAGTCTCGTTGTCATCATGAGAATGGCGGTGTAGTCCCGCGGCCCTTCAAGCACCGGCTCCCAGTTTTCGTCAGTGAGCTCAATGACACCGCTGCCACCCGAATTGGCAACCTTGCGGAGGGTGTCCACATCAAGTCCGGCAAATACCGTGGCCACAAGCCAGCCCCATAGGAGTAACCCGAATTGCATGGTATATCGCTGGAAAAACACGTCGCGCACAATTCGGTGTATCGTAGGTTTCCGGCGAGGCAGTGTCGGTAGCTACTAAGCGAACAGGCTAACAAACAAAATCAATGGGGAAAACAATTACTTGAAAACCACTTTCAATTACAGTAACCAAATTTGGTGACGTAACGTGTTTCAAAAATTACTGTCGCCACAGTGATCTCGCCACATATTATGCTTTTGTGATCGTCGGAAGTATACATTGGCAACCACCACCAACACAAATCAATCAGATGGTTTCGGGGGTACACCTCTAATACCTAGTTTGGGAACCTAATTCCGTTGAGGTATGTGATTATCCAAACACGATAGCGATGGCTGTCGAGGGAAGGTCGACCCGATTCGTTGCTAGTCAACAAAGACTATGCCATTGATGGAAATTTTGTGGAACTCCAAAGATAAGCGATTGTTGAATGAATGATTGACTTCAGTATGATGTGACGAAACTGTTCTATTGTGATCTGCTTATCAACTCTGCGTTGCTCGAACGGCTATTCCTCAAACCTTATTAACGCTTGTCGTCTATTTTAAGCTTCTGTCAGACACCCCCCTTTTTTGTTGAACTTAAAAGCCAGCTGTGGGGGTGTATACCAGCCCAAGGCTGCTATGCAATACGAAGCAGAACAGACATCGATATAATTACTTTCCGTGCAAATATCCCTTGAAATTACCATCGAATGCCACCACGAGGTTGGACACATAATCTCAGATCGTTAGACCCTGATACGCTCCTCAAGTTGGTTCAGGGGCTTTCTCAAGATCCTGATGCATGGGTTGTTTATAAATTGGTGGCCCTGACTCCGATCGAGTTGTCGTTAAAAGTTGACGATGATATTATGGACCAACTATATCGCCTCGAACAATTTCGAAAGCACTTTCTCCATATAAAGGTATATGTTGAATGTGATAAGCTGAAATCATTTTCCAGTGATAATTTGTTATTAAAGTATACCTGTGTGCGTTGGGGAATTCCATTTGAAATCCGATTAGATTGGTATCATGAAGCAGGCCCAATAAACACGATTCCATTCAACGTGTGGCGACTAAATATTCAAGTTCAATGGCCAAGTACACAAGTTGACATAAGTGGATTCTACCAATTACGACTGGTAACAATTAATTCAAATTATAGTGATCTTCTCGAGGTCATGTTACCGCCACAGGTAAGACAACTTGAGGTCTCTGACGTTTGTCATTTAAATATGATTTCATCTTGTCCCAAGGTTTATGATTTAAAACTCGCAAATATCAAAGACTCATGTGGAGTTACTCCTGAGCGATTCCCTCAACTTAAACTGGCAACCTTCGATAATGTGTCTGCTGAAGTGGTTACTCAGGTGGTTACTATTCCCACAGTGCACGTGGTGACCATCAATACGTTTTATGATGCTTTCCCTGCTAACATAAATGAAGTGCATGTTTTCAATGGAGTTGGTTCAAGCTTAGGTTTGGAAGATGAAGTTCTTGATGAATTGTTGTCAGTGAATGGAACCAAAATCTATTCTATCAGTTCTGATTTTGCGTTTCTGCTGACAATTCCTTCATCGATAAAAAGATTGAATATTATAGGGAACACCGAGGTTAATTTCCCACCGGAGCTTGAAAGCTTGAAATGGGATTCACCTTTATATGGGTTTCATTATCCGATAAACTTGACTCTGCTTCATATCACCAAGGGTCCCTCAAGCATTCCGACTTTTTATGAGTTTATGAATCTTCGGCTGCTTACATACACAGATAGTGAGCTTGAAATTGCTGTTATCGAAGCACCGAAAATTCGTATGATCGACCTACGAAACAATCGAGTCAAAAAGGTCAGCGTACCCATGTCTACTCGAACTTTGAAACTTGAAGGAAATCAAATGAGTTTTTTGCCTCCTATATCACATTTGACTCAACTTCAATCCTTGACAGTGCTGTCTCCTAACTTGAAAGAGATAAATGCTGATTGTCCTAAATTGACATCACTTCGAATTAACGGTGAAAAGGTAGAGAGTATTGTGGTACAAGAACTGGTTGAAAAATTAGACTATGACAACATGATGTCTCTACGAGAAGTTAAAATTGGAAACCGGGCCAAATCAGGCACGATTGCCATCTCCAAGTATCTGAAGCAGGTTCACTCAGGGAGAGTTGCAATCAACTACCATCCTGAAACTACTCGCCTACGATTGATTCTCCATGGTCCTTGCTCGCCCAGTTACTTCATCTTTCCTCAAACCCTTGAAACTTTGATATTGCATTACCACCACTATCATCAACCTTTGGATTTGTCGAGATCGTCGATTACAAACTTCGTACTCAAAGTGGAGGAAGTCATTGAGCACGCAGTGATATTGCCTCAGCTGGTGGAGTACTTGGAGATCTCCTGCAAGTCAAATCGAGTTCCCATTGAGTTTGTTAAACCGTCACGAATCCGAGAATTGTGGATTTTACCTGATTCCAACGACTCGTCGTTACCATTGAGTTGGAAATGGCAACAGTTCAACCGACAAAGCTATCCAAATTTGCGGAAGATCAATGGTAAACATCCAGAGCTGTTTATACGTGAACTTAGAAGTAAATCGTGTTTTATCACTTAATATATATTTAGGCTTACGGTTTACGAGACAGCAATCGTTTTTCCACGCTCACTTAAAGTTCGCCCCTCATCTACGTGGCACACGACCGTTGACGTTATTGTGTTAATATGATCCCCTTGTTATTCTTGAATGAGTATTTACAAATAAATACAGCAGGCGATGCATCATTAAAGTAATTTGATTTGTAAGCTCCACCACTTCAAAAGTTCTCTCAAGAGTGCTCTCTGCGGCTCGGTTTCGTGAGACGCGAAAATGGTGATTTGTCATTTACGCAGCGCTCAGGGGTTGGCACCCGCTACCATTAAAAACTCCGTACACTAAAGAGCCAAAAATGCCACCCTCAATTAGTTTGGGCGATTTTAAAGGCGTTTGATTCGTGATTGGCCATGACTTAGTGTGATTTGTCATCAATTTATTTCACAAATGACAAAGTTAAAATTTATCCTTCAGTAAAGACAAGTCTATACGGATTTTCCATTACGATTTTCCGAGCTGGCTGCGTGTTGGCAGTCGCCCTTCGTCGTGTGTGGGATTTGTCTGTCCTACTCCGCGTCACGTGCCCGACGCTCGACCAAAAAAAACACTCGATTGCCAGCCCCACTCCAACACCAATATGGACAACTACGGCGATGATTTGTACCCATTGGCGTTATTAATGGACGAACTCAAGCACGACGACGTGCTGAACCGTGTGGAAGCCATGCAGAAGGTGGACACAATTGCCATTGCCCTTGGGCCCGAACGCACCGTCAAGGAGTTGTTACCGTTTTTGAACGAAGTCGCCCAAGACGACGAGGAAGAGGTTTTTGCCGTGTTGGCGGAGAAGCTCGGGGATATGGTCCCCTACATCGGCGGCACGGAAAACTGTAAGCCCCTCATTCTGATCCTCACCATCTTGGCGCTGATGGAGGAGCCTATCGTCCGCGATAAGGCGATCGACGCCCTCAACAAGATCAGCACCCAGCTTCCCAACGAAGACCTCCAAAAGATATTTTTGCCCTTGATTACCCAATTGAGTCAAGGTAACTGGTTCTCCAAAAAAGTGGCGCTGTGTGGTCTTTACAAACTGGTGATCGACAAGATTGCCCCCGCTCAACGCATCGAATTCCTCAACCTATACCTCAAGCTCGTGGGTGACGAGTACCCTATGGTTCGTCGGCTGGCAGCGCTGCACTTGCCGGAGTTAATCAACTTGCTCTCGAAGGCTGACAGCGCCGTTGAGTCAGACTCGTGGGAAGCGATCTCGAAAATGTTCCAACACATTATCCACGATGACCAGGACTCGGTTAAGTTCCTTGGTGTCGATGTGCTTATCGCCATCCTCGAATTCTTCCGTCACATCGGTGACTTCACCTACAATGGCGAGTTCCTTCAACTGGCACTCAAATTGTGCAAGGACGAATCGTGGCGGGTAAGATACACTGCTGCCGACCGTTTCTCGAAGATTGCGGAAAACTTTACTCACTCGGAACCTGAGTTGACTCAGTTGATCGAGCCGTTTATTGACCTCATGGATGACCACGAAGGTGAGGTCCGTAAAGCTATTGCCAAGCAGTTGCCGGATTTCTGTCAGCTCTTGACCACTTTCCCTGCCACCAAAGCTACCATTCTTTCAAAAATCATCCCTGTGGTCACTGAGCTTTCTCAAGACCCTCAAGAAAACGTCAGAGCTCTGCTTGCTCTGACCATCACTGGGCTCTCACCAATTTTGGAGAAACAACTGACAATCGATCGGTTATTGCCTCTTTTCTTGACGATGTTGCGCGATGACTTCCCCGATGTGCGTCTTAACATCATTCTGAACTTGCTGGTGGTTAACGACACCATCGGCATCAACTTGTTGCTGACAAACTTGTTACCGGCAATTACTGAGCTTGCCCAGGATCACAAGTGGCGGGTGCGTCTTGCTATCATCGAATACATCCCCAAGTTGGCCCACCAATTGGGGGAACTGTTCTTCAATGATGAGTTGTTGGCATTGTGCATGCTGTGGTTGTGGGACCCGGTGTTTGCGATCAGAGACGCCGCTGTCAACAACTTGAAGGAGCTCACTGCCATTTTTGGTTCGGAATGGGCCACCTCGCATATCATTCTGCGAATTACCAATCCCGACGGGCAATCGACCTCGGGTGAAGACGTCGAAGAAGGCGGCATCGATTACTCCAAATTCATTATCCGTATTACCTGTCTTTTTGCCATCACTGCGTTAGTTCAAGTCGTCAATCAAGACGTGATCGTGCAGCAGTGCTTGCCATTCATAAATAACCTTTACGACGACGTTGTTGCCAACATCCGCTTCAATGTTGCTAAGCTGTACAAGGTGGTGGTGGAGCTGTTAGCAGCTAATCCTGCCAACCGCGAGGAAGTCACGCGTTTGATCAGCACTGATATTGCTCCCAAGTTGGAGAAGTTGCTGAAGGACAAAGACTTTGACGTGCGGTACTTTGCTGAGCAAACCATTGATGCAATTAAAGCGTTGTAATTTTTGTTTTATGATATGTTAGATATGAAAGGGCCTTTCTTGATTATGAGATTTGCGTAGTGAGGAAGCGATCCGTCCATGAGATTCGGTCGAACTCGACGATAGCTCGACGTCTAAGTAAATGTAAAAATAAAAAAATGGATACTGTACTTGTCATGCAAATCTGACAAAATTATCAAAAAGTAACTCCGGTACAGGGAATCGAACCCTGATTTGCTCGGTGAAAGCGAACCGTGATAGCCATTACACCATACCGGATGATCTGGAAAATTTACCTAAATGTTGCTGGTATGATTATGGTCCAACGTCACATTTTCGTTTAGATCGTCTCTCATTGCTCACTATAAAGCGATACTTGCTCAGACGGTGTGTTTAAGTTATATAGTACATTGAGAAGTCTTAAAACTTAACTTCTCTCACTCGTCATGTGAGCCAAAGACAGGCAAAATCCTTGCGTGGACAAGGTGTGACTTCAACGATTCATGGGTAATGTTCCCTGATGTACTTTTTCTTATTCGCCTTCAGGTGAAGGTTATAAGATATTATTACAGACGATAGATATGAATGCAAGGCTATAGAGTAAATACAATAAATACGTCATAACGATTCTTTACGTACAAGAAGGTTAAATTACTATATGCTAACAACAAACATCAACAGACCGCTTAGGCCTCACCTCTCTCTTGGCGAGCCTTTTCCAATTTATCAAAGTCAAAATCAAAAGAAGCCCCACAGCCACACTCGGTGGAGGTATATGGTGAGTCAACAACTTTGAACTGAGAACCAATCAACTCCTTAGTATAGTCGATCTTCAGCTCCTGTAAGATTTCCAAACTGGCTTCGTTGAGAACGAGCTGAGCCACGCCGTAGTCGCCTTTGTCGCCATCAGTACGCTTAAATACAAGCATATCGCTGTCTTCCTTCAAAACATCGGAAAGAGTGGCCAAGTCCAAATTGTACTGGAACCCGTGACATCCACCGGATTCAACGTCGATCTTCAAAGCAGTTTCGGCATTTTTGTCGTCATTGGCGATTTTGTAAAGCTTGTCACGCGCTCTGGGAGTGATGGCAATGGTGAGATTAGTGGTACCGTGAACGAGCTTTGTCTTCGCGAAGTCATCGGCGGGGAGCGTCAGCTTGGTAAATGTCTTGGTACCATTATAACGGACACTGGCACGGGCGACGTTAGCCGTCAAGGGGAGGCCACGGGCGGCTAGTAGGCCTCGAAGCGGGATTGAGCGAAGCATGGGGGTGGGGTTAGTAAGCGCGCGCACTCCGATCAATTTGAATGAGATTGTTCACGCATTATGCCGGAGCCGTAAAAGTCACTCCCCAGAGCGGGAGCTATTGAAGGTGATAAAAAAATATATGTTGACGATCTAGAGTGACTTAAGTGACTCAAAGTCCGATCTCGGAGTATTTTCTTAAACGTTTATATTTCTCGAATAATATCTACACAATTACAACGGGATTAGCGGTAGTTGTCGTTACCGACCTTCCAGGAGGGCAACACATCAAGGTACTTGTAGTTCTCCTTGGAGCCTTCCATCCCGAAGGAGATCGGCGACAAGTAGATGAAGAACCCGATGACCAACGCGTACCAGATGACGAACCACGCCTTGTACACGGCCTTGTTTCTGATGTTGTCGGCGACGACTTCAATTTCGTAGGTCAACACCAACATGGCAAAGTAAAGCGCAGGCGCATAGTGATGGAAGTAAGTGACTCTGCCCATGATGACGAAGGGAGTGAAGTGCAACCCCCACCCGAACATCGGGTAGATCCCCCCCATAACGAACTTCTTGAGCTTGCTGGGGTTGGAAGCAGGGAAGTCATCGATTTGACGTTGCCATCTGAGCAAGTAGTAAAGGGTCATACCGGCAAACACCAACACCCCGACCGTCGAGGTCCAGGTGGTGGCAGGCGACGACATCATGTAGTACTTGACGGAGGAGTCGGCCCAAGAGCACATACGGATACCCGCGTGCAAAGTGGGCCATTCCCACCACTTCGAGGCCAAATCGTCCTGCTTGTCGGAGTCGGGTACTAACGCGTTGTTAGTGGCCATCATCGCCAAGTTAAGTTGGACGAAATCCTTGTAGAACTTGGTCTTGGGCCAAGTGAAGTTGTCGGGGGGAGGAGGCAAAATGTCGTTCTTGTTGTTTTCGACGTTCCACCAGGTACGCTTGTCCTTCTTGAACGAGTTCTTGTAGCAAACAACTTCACCTTGACGGAAACCCCACGCGGGCAACGACTTACCGGTGACACCCAAGTAGCACCCAAGCACAGGCGACTTGATGCGGAAGGTGGTGGTCAAGGGGTGGATCACTTCCTTGTCCTCGTCCGACAATTGTTCCATAACTTCGATGACCCAGTGGTCCTTTTCGTCACCAATGGTCAAGTTACCGTAACAGGCGACTTCCCAGTGGTTCTTGGTGACGGGAGCGTTGACGTGGTGAGTGTGCAAGTTTCTGCCGGTGTTGGGGTGCATGATCCGCACCATCATCCCATCGGTGATGTATTCGGTTTCGTTGGTCTTGGCGACGTCGTAGGCTTCTTGGCCACGGACTCTTTGGAAGACCCAGTGGTTGTTAGCGTCCTTGTGAGAGTAAGTGGTCACTTGTTGTTGGTTGGAACCTTCAGGGTAGGTTTGCACGTGCGAGTGCAACAAGCCACCGCCCAAGCCCATGTTCTTCAACGTGACCACCGAGTGGCCCATGGTGACGTCACGAGCACCGCCGGAAATGTCCAGACCCACGAGGTTGGCTTGGAAAAGCGACGACATGTTGGCGTCACCGGTACCCAGCTTGTACAACAAGTCAAAGTGCACCTTGAACGAGAGCACAAAGATCAGAATGGGGACGACGATAAGCCCAATGACACGGGCGATCCAGTGGCCAGTGTATTTCGACCACGACACTTTTCTGTCGAACAACTTTGTCCACAAGTCGACCATGGTGTAAATACCGACCAACGACGTGACGAAGAGACCCACCATCTTCACCGAGGTGACGCAACCGATGGAGACCCCGGTCAAAAGCAACCACTTCCACCACTTGCGGCCGAATTCTTCTTTGGCGTTGTTGAAGTTGTTGAAGCGGGTGAAACAGAACACCGTGGTGACGGTGAAAAACAAAAGCATCGAGTCCAAAAGAATAAACTTACCGAGGGTGACGTAGACCTGTTCCAACGCCACCATGAGCGAGAACAACCATGTCGCCCACACCGAGAACCCGATTTCCTTACAAGTGTAGTAAGCGAACGGGGTCATGAGGGTCGAGAACACCGCCTGGAACACTCTCATCTTGGTGTAGTCAATGTATTCGGGGTATTTGGTGCCCGAAGGGAAGTCCCACGACCCGTTGTAGCCGGCAAGGTACCCCGACAACCCAATCAACATCTTCCCCAACGGCGGGTGGACGTCGTGGTAGAACTCGTGGCGCAAGTAGTAGGAGCCAAACTTGCCGAAATGGGCTTCGTCCCAGACGACACCGTCGTTGGCGGAGATGCGGTACAACCGCACCCCGAGGGCAAGCGCCGTGAGCGCCAATGGCGCCAACCAGCGCTCGAGCTGGGCCATACCCTCGCCGAACTGTTGGCGCTGGTCGAACGCGGCCTTCTTGCCGAGGTCGGCGTCGTACTTGGCGTCGCTGACGACCTCCAGGTGCGCCGGGACGGTTTCCGGGTGGCCCCGGTGTCGAATCGCGTCGGTGTCGCCGATATCAACCCCTGAAGCACTCATACGTGGTGGTGTGGAAAAATTGGAAAAGAGGTTGACGTGGATTGTTTGGTGGCTACGCGCGGGTTTCGAGCGATGGCTCTCAGATAAATATGAACACCGCGCGTGTCGAGATCTGGGTCCAGCGTTGAACGAGGGGAAAACAATGTGGTGTATAAAGTGAATGTGATTTGTGTAATGATACTGCCGATAATAGTGAGTTTAGAGGCTAATCTAGTTATTTATCCAGTAAACTGAATTTTTTTCTTCTCAAGCCGGTGTTAATTGACCTCGAGCTTTCCGATCGCGGAGCTAGGGTTTATTCGCTGGAAAGTATAGGTCGAGGAAGGAAGGTAGACAAAAAAGAGGCGACAACCCACGTGTTCTGGAATAGTGCAATGTTTGAACGGGATATTGTTGGTCATAAGTTGGATATATCATATTGTTGGAAAAATTATTGGTTTATCAAATTTATCATATTTACAGTGTCGCTTGTGTCCCTTCGCTGTGAAGAAGACACAAGCCGTGGGTGCGAAACACTACTCAATCAACGTAGCTTTTGAGAGTTGAGCAAATGAGAGTCGAGTCCAAATTGCGTTATTGAATGTTGCTATCTTTCAAAACTAAGTTATCATCGACAAGGCCTCGATTGTCGTTACCCATTATCTTTACGGGGTGACTGAGGTTACTAGATAGAGAAAAATCTGGGGGTAAAACCACCGTGACTGTATACAGGACGCGAGCATCACCCCTCTCATCCTTATTTAAAGTACCATTGCTTTTAACGACAAACAAGCCTAACCAAAGTATCTCCTCGAGTCAATAGACTATTTCCACTTAAAACAACTCCACTCCATCGTCATCTTTAATTTTACTCGACTTAGAACTTCGTCCCCCACTCGAGTCAGCCGCGAAGCGAGCCCGGGGGTAATCACGCACTCCACCACTGCGAACAAACAATTGAAAACCACCCACCACTTCCCTAAGCTAGCCCGCGATGACCGACATCCCCCGACCGCCCACCAAGCAGCGCTTTGGCTGGGTGAAGCGACTAGTGCAGGGCCAAGGGCGCCAGGGCCCGCTGGCGCTGGTGGCGAAGCCGCAGGCAGGCCTGGGGCTCTCGCACAGTTACGTGGTGACGCTGGCGGGGCAAACGAGCGACGAGGACGCCACCCTGCTAGCGCTGCTGGAGCGGCTGGTGCGCCTGCACCTGGAGATCCACACCATCCAGCTGGACAACGTGCTGACCATTCCGTTGAAGCTGGTGATCTCGGTCCAGCTGACGAAGCTGCCGCTGATCTTGCTGGACCCGCACGGCGCCACCGACCAGAGCCTGTTCAACCCGCTGACGACGGAAACGCTGATAGCGGCGCTGCTGATCGGCATCAGCCTGCCCCAGACGACGGTGCACACGGGGGTGACGGAGCGAGTGGCGGGACACAACTTGCGCGAGGACCGCGATGCCGAGAGCGTGGTGACGTTGGCGCTGCTGACCCGCCGCCGTCGCCGTCGTTCTATCGACACCAACTGCCTGACAGCGGGCATCCCCCCAGCCAGTATCATGGAGCGGTTGACGGTGCACCCTGGCGGTGGCGCCCTCAGCAACTACGCCCGGCTGATCGAGGACCAGAAGAGCGAGCGCAGTGGCCGCAGCGGCCGTGACGAGATCGAGACCCACTAGACTTTGTGGGTTGTCATTTACCGAGTGTGGCTGAGATGTTTTAGTTTAGAGGTTAATCCCAAGATTCTTTTTTTGGTTAGTTTTTGTAGCTTTGTTGGTAACCCTAATGGATGGTGTGTTTACCTTGGATGAGGTGCCTGCATTTTCTCAAACAGCGCTATCTTTAGCCCAGCGAAAAAGCCAAAACATCAAAACACACCAAAACACATCGGCATCGCGCGATGCCACCAACAAATAGTAGGAGTAGGCAATGGCAAAAACACTGGGGTTTAGTACCTAAAGGAAATAAAGCAATTGTATTGAAATCTAAATGAGGTCATTCTCTGTAATGGTTTTGAGTGTGGCTTGCCGGCGCCGGGAGGAGTGCCGGCACCTGTCGCTGTCGCCCCTACTATGCGGTGCCCGAGTGCTGCTGCCGCACTGTCGACAGCGTGCCGGCAGCACGCGGCAAACATTCCCCACACAGGCGTAAGCGTGCGCGCCGCAGCCGGGGCGCACTTTCATAACAACACTCCTTCGGCGCCTCGTTGCCACTTGTCTCCCGCCACCACCGTCCCCCCTTCGCCCTCTCTACCCAGTGTCTTGCCACGGGCCGCCACCACACCCATGTCCCTTGAAGGCGACGTGTTCATCCAGCAGGTGGCGACGTACGTGCGCCGCCACGAGGACGTGCTTGCCCACGGGCTCGCCCGCCTCCAGGCCCACCCGACCACGGCAGACAAGCCCGTCCGCATCCAGTTCTCGCTCCACCACCTCTACTACTTGCTCGACCGGATCAACGCCCCCGACGACGTGGGCCCGCTCAACGTCAAGTTGGATGCCGACGACTGGGGCGCCACCGAGCCGACGTTCATCCTGTTTTTGACGCTGAGCCACACCGCCCCCGTCGACAGCGACACCAAGCTGGTGCTGCTGATCGGCTCCGTCAAGCTGATGGTGCTGCTGGCGCTGACCTACTTCCGGCTGATGAATTTTTCCAAGGACCCCAAGGTGGTGTCCAAGGACTTGAAGTACTTGTATCTGGTGTTCACCAAGCTCCCGTGCCTTGTCCTCAGCCCCCGCACCAAGTTGGCCCCCGTCGCCGGCTTCGAAGAGTATCCCTGCGACACGGCGGTGCCGCTAAAGCTCTTTACCAACTTACAGGTTTTGGAGATTTGCGAGTACGATCCCAACGAGATTTACGGGTGGCACTTGCTTAGCGAGCAGCTCCGCATATTGGTGGTAAAAAAAGCCACAAAGCTCAACGACCTCACCCATTTGTTGTTCCAGTTGGTCGTCGACGACGACTACGGCCGCGCCCTGTTTGCCGTGGCCCACCAGCTGCCCTACCACAAACGATCGTCGCTGGGTAACTTACTAGGCTCCTACAGCGGTCCTCCCACTTCGGGACTCGGCCTCTCCCAGGTAGGAGCCCCGCCCCCGGCTCATCCGACTAATCATGCCGCTGCCAACAACTCAGCATTCAGGCGTCCCCGGCTGCGGGCCAGCACGTTGGACGCCTCATACTCCACCAAGCCGCTGGTGCTGCCGCTGCGCCCCGGCGCCGCTGCCACCGGCGACACCAGCTGTCTGCGTGACTATACCCTGTTGCCAGCGTCAAAATGGCCGCAGCTTAAACAGCTTTCGGTGACCGACCTGGCGATCCTCTCCGTCCCTGCCTACGCATTTAAACCATTACTGGGACTCGTCAAACTCAACTTATCGTCAAATCTACTTGAGGAGATTCCCCCAGGGCTCCATCATCTCCCCAACTTGAAGTATCTCAACTTAAGCGGCAACTACATCAAGACGTTAGCCAACTTACCCCGCACCCTCACGCATTTGGTGCTGCTTAACCTCAACAACAACAAGCTCACCAGTCTTCTGGGCCTCGAGCGCCTCGCCCGCTGCGAGCGCATCGACGTCCGCCGCAATTTTATCGCCACCACCACCGAGTTCCGCTCGCTTGTGCTTTTGTACATCAAGTGCCCCAGTCTCAGTCACGTTTATCTTGCCGGAAACCAGCTTCCTAAAGGCTACCGCGTTGAGTTATTCAATTTATTTAACGGGGTCAAGTATAAAAACATGATCAAGATCGATGATCTGCGCCCAGGGTACTTTGAGCTGGTGGTGCTCATGGACGCGCAACTGGCGTTTAAGCATTTAGAATTGTTTTTCTTACAGCAGAAGCCCGGTCCCAGTTCCGAGAACAGTCAAGCCCACGTCGCCGTTGGAGGGCGCCGCCTTCTGGTGCTTACGGTGCTGCCGCGAGTGGACAACCATCTATTTGAACAAATGCAAGCCGACCCGCTGCCGTCGCTGACGCCGCCGCCGAAGCCGAAATCGAAGCCGCGGTGGAAAGGACATCAACGGTCGCGGACGTTGGACCTGGCGCTTGACTCGTTATTGGAGACGACTTCGACGCCCTTGGCGCCCATCGCCGGCAGTCCGCGCATGAAGGTGCCGCCGGCCGCGGGCGTCGCCGCGACGCTGCTGCTACTGCTGTTGTCGTCGCTGCCAACAACCACTCCCGCCCTGGCAGTGCCCCGGCGCTACGATCTAGGACACACGGTGGTGAGCACGCTGCCGACGGTGCTCCAAGAGAGCACCAGCATGTATGAGTTGGCGGCGATTACGCGCGGGCCGCCGCCGTTGGCGCCGCTGGCGCTTAATAATCGCGGCGATCGACTGCCAGCGCTGACTAAGCTGAAGCGGTCGCTGACGTTCACGGTGGTCGACCTGACCACCGCCCCCAGCATTCTTACCCCCGTTCAGGTAACCGCACGAATGAGCTCCTCCTGAAACGGCTGAGTCGTATAGCAGCTTATATAGTCTTGGCGGCGCGGTCTGTCTTCCACGCGCCATTATAAATATATCAGACACCCTGCGTAAACACGATCTGCACGCACCTTGACAACTGCAAACGGTCAAAGCCCCCGACAGTTGCCGAGATAGGTGCAAACCACAATACCCGGCGCCAAAAAGCCTGCTAAGCCTCAAGGAATAGGGGCACAAAGGCGCCGTTCCTGTTGATGGCGGCGATGGCGTCGTGGAGCGGGGACGAGGTGTTTTTGATCTTAAGTACCGCCAGCGTCCCCCCTATACCTTAAGTGCTACTCGTTCGTATTGGCCACGATAGGATTCCGGGGTATCACCGTCTCCTTCGGTTGCGGCAGCGTATGTTCGGGATTAATCAACGGCGGTGCATAACCCCGGATGGCTCAGAGTTTGTGTTTACCCATTTTTGGGTGGCCTGGAGGGGCAGTGAGGGGGCGCACGGTGAGGGCATTTTACGGGGTCATGCCCATGTGGCGCCCGCACGGAGTAAAAGGTTTTGTCGACGCTTAGTGGGAGCACCGGCGCCGCCCCATGACGTAGACAGCGGTCGTAGCGCTGGCGGCGGTAGGCTAGACCACGTCACCACTACCGCTCGCGAGCGGCTGCCAAGCGCCCTTAGCGGCCCTCATCGTTTGCTCGGCGAGCAACTGACCGGTGCCGCGGGGGTGCGACAAAAATTTGGGGACGCCCGGCCCTGCGCCTAGGTCATACTACAGCCGAATCACCGCCTAGGCGGCGCACGGGCGCAAAACAGCGCACATAAGAGCAACAGCGAATCTCCCCTTTCCCGTTTTTGCCACTCAACCCAGCCAGATGGCCCCTGACAAAAACGACGCCCCCCCAGCCTACTCCGAGGTCGTGGGTACGCCGCTGGCAGCGCCCCACCTGCGTCCGTCCCAGGCGCGGCCCCAGACCCAGAGCCGGCCTCAGACATCCCAAACCCGCCCTCCACCACAGCAACAGCGCCCGGCGACCCAGCAGCGCAAGCAGCAGCGGCCCCAGACCCAGACCCAGACTCAGACCCGCCCGGCGCCGGCCCACCACGCCAACACCGCCAAGCGACAACAGCAACACCACCACCAGCAGCAGCCCCAGTACCGCCAGCAACAGCAGCCCCAGCGGGTGTACGTGCAACAGCCGCAGCCAATCTATATCCAACAGCCGGCGCCCGCCGACGACAGCGGCTGCTGCGCCGCCTGCTGCTGTGGGTGTCTCGCCGCCTGCTGTGCCCTCTTGACGTGTGGGATCATTCTTTAAGGTTTGCATTGCCGTATGGCGTTTTCATGACGTATGTAATATAATGAACTTCTAGACGAACACCGGTAGTTTGAAATCATAATTTGGTGGTGTTTGTTTACTCATCGGAGCTTCTGAAACATTGTTTATTGTCTCAGTGCTCGGTGATTAAACAGCATGTGCGACGACCAATGTAGTGATCACCCAGCCCTACCGAAGACAAAATAAGGTAGTTTGAATTTAAACATGATGATAAAATCTGCCCTTGTATAAGATTTGCTTTTCAGAAACTAAAGTTCTGTAATTGTTTTTATCTAATCGGTTGTACCAAAATTTTGTCAAATTGTCGAAAATGGTGGGATTTGAACTCCCGATACCCACGATGATGAAGTAAGGGATACATTTCGTAGTCTCTATTGTTATTCAAATCACCGTGTAAACCCCAGAAATCGAGCTAAGATGAAGCTCTTCATCACGGTTGACCTGAGTAGCTTGCAAGTGAGGTGGTTTTGGACAGTATGGTTATTACACAATTAGATCTACGACAAATTGAGTATTGTCTGTCAAAGTATTTCCAAAAGTCATTCCATTGATTCATTCCATTGATGTATTCCATTGATATATTCCATCAATGAAGGGGGGTGTTGAATTTAACATCAGTGTTACCCAGAGTTTAGTTGAGTATGCATTTCAAGCATCCAGCTTCCATGAAATCTTAGTCATTCAAGACTTCAAGTACTCTCTTGAACTAATCAATCCAACTAGAAAAGTTCTTGGTGAGTCTTTGTCTTACTTCGTTCATGAACCAAAATCCAACAGTGCCCGATGATCCTTTATGGCTACCATCGATAAAGAAAGAGCCCTAACATGGAAGACGACCAACACTGACGAATAATGACCAAATTCAACCAAGCATGCCATGTTTCATCGATCGCCACCATATCTACCACACCATAGTTTACGTACGTGTCTTCCCCCTCTCAACACCACCATTTGAGTCGCGCGCACCTTACCACCCTCCATGGACGCCTTCATCGAGCTGCTGACAAAGCTCCTCGCGGCGTACCCGCTGACGACGGTGTCGATCACCTACTCCAACCAGCATAAGAAGAACCCCAACAAGGTGGCCAAGCCGGCGCTGAACAAAGTGTCGGTGAAGCTCTACGTCCCCGAGGCGGGCAAAATCGTCAAGTACCTGACGTTCAAGCTGAAGGAGCTTTCGAAGATCTTGGCGTTGTTGGGACCGTTTGGCGTCGCCATGGCGCTGACCAACCCCCAGATCGGGCTTGCCGGGATCATGGCCAACGTCGCCATGGTGGAGGCGACGCCCGAACCGGAGCCCGCCGTGGTGGAACCGCTGGCGAAACCCGCCGCCGCCGACACCCCTGTCGTCGAGCTGAAAAAGAAGAAGAACAAGAAGAAGAAGAAGCGGTGAGCGCACGCTACTCTCTAATACACGTATTTTATCGGATTTGTCGTCATTGTATGTATATATTGAAGGTTCTCTAGAGTCTACGACCCGCGGTAGGTCGAGTACGAGTGGTTAGAAAGAAGCAAGGGGATGTGGTAATGGTTGTCGGGAGGGTTAGCAACGACAAAGTGGACGTCGACAAACGGGAAGAACGTCGCCAGCTGCTGCTGGACAAAGTACTTCCCCGTCAAGAACTTCACCTTGTAGATGCCCGGCTTCAACGTCGTCCACTTGTCGCCCGACACGCCCAACTTCAGCTTGGTTGACGCGTCCATTTTCGGGTTTAACGTCCACTGCTTCACCCGCCCGTCGTTGTCGGTGTGGGCCATGGCCACGGGCTCGGGGACGGTGCTCACCTCGGCGACGTCGTCGTTGACGTCACCGAGTAAGTAGAGCTGGCACAACACGTTGGCGGCGGGCTTGCCCTTGGTGGTGTCGAGGATGTGGCAGGTGATGGGGTCGACGGACATACGCTTCAATTGGGGTGAAATTTAGGGCGGCATGGTATCAGGGTCTTATATATCGGGGGCTCGGAAATCTCCGTGCGTGGCTTCCCCAGTTTAGAGTAATGTGCAGGAGACATTAGTCCTATACTTATTCGTTAACAACATCGATATAGTGCAAATATCGACGACTGTTTGATTACAATAATGTTTGATGACTAAAGAATTTGTAGCATTCATTTCAATTTTCGTTTGAATGATATTTCGAAGACATATACTTCTTGTTGATGATAGTGCGGCTTGATCCGAGCCGCGTGAACTTCTACTAAGTATGCTAGCGTAGGGAGATGTGTCATTACTATAGTTACTGATGGATTCAGTTTTCCGCCCAGATGGCGCCGCCGTTGGCATATACGTCGCGGGCCAACAGCTCGACGTGGCTGTCCCAGTTGAGAAGGTGGTTGTACAACACCTTCACCTGGTTCAAGTCAAGCACCCGTGGCTGCAACCAGGTGACGTGCAACATGCGGTTCACCTGGTCGATCTGGCCCCGGATCAAGTCGAGGGCAAAGCACTTGATGATCAACAACTCGACCTGGTCGGGCTTGATGTCGGTGAAGCGGGCGATGGCGTCAAACAGCAACGACTTGTTGGAGGTGGCCGCCTGCTGCGAGATGAGCTCCATCAACGACATGATGGTGATTTTCCGCACCAAGAACTCTTCGTGAGATTTGAGGAGCGGCAGCTGGGGGAAACTGGCCTGGAGCTGGTGCAAGAATTGGGGCTTGTTACCCTGGTTAAGGGTGACGATCAAGTCATAGAGCCACGCGTACTGGTTGTCCTTGATCAGCGACAAGATCTCGTGCAAGATCAACTCGCCAAAGTTGTAGATTTTGTCCCCCAACAACGCCGCCACCCCCAAGTCGTAGCAGATGGCCACCTTCTGGTCCGGGGTCAAAGTGGTGCCGTCAACCGACAGCAAGTACAATAAACCGGCGCGGTAGGTCTCGTTGTAGTTCTTCTTGAGCTTGTGGAGCTCGTACTTGGTGTAATAGTAGGCCGCCGCGACCCGCTGGTTGGGGTCCAGCACCGCCGTCTTGCCCCCACGGGTGGCGGTGTCGACCACAGCGACAGCGCCGTTGCCAATGTCGTAGCGGCCCGCCAACTTGTCCAACACCGCCTCGGCGTCGTCGATGTCGCCCAATTTAAGCTGGTAGCGCGCCCGGTTCAAATCGATGTAGTTGATGGCGTCGGTGGCCTCAATTGTCGCCACCATCTCCCGCTCGTTGCGTTCGTTTTCCTCGTCGCTGCCCTGGGGCTTGTAGTGGGCGACTCTGATCTCCTTCTCCACCAGCTGCCTGAGCTCCAGCAACTTCTCGAGCATCTGCTTCGGGTGGTCGCCGTAGGCACAGAGGGCAAACTCGACCACCTTGATCGGGTTGAGCTTGTTGGCAAACTGCAGCACAAACAAGTCGTAGACCTTGCACTTGAGCTGGGGGGTCGCCTCCGGGGTGAGGAAGAAGAACTCCTCGAGCGCGAGCGTCAACTGGTGCCAGAGCTTGCGCTCGTAGTAGTCTTCGAACTGGTACAAGATGTTGACGATGTCGCCATTCGTCTCGTTCTCCAGCCGCAAGCTCGCAAGAACCGTCGAGATGTCGCTGTCGGTGTCCATGGTGGCGTTCAGTGGCAACGCGCGCGAAATGCGATTGTATGGGGCTGAAGGGGTTCGAACGCCCGCGCGACACCAGACGTGAGGATGCCAGGAAAAGGAGGATGCAAATGCGAGAATAATCATGAATAAATATGCTTCACTAGACTCCTACTTGTTCAATTTTATTGATTTCTGTTGGATAACATCACCCAGATCTAAATACGAAGACCTCAGTGGTAATTTTGGGTTCGCAAGGCCGACATATAATCTGGAGTACAGCCTACGGTAGCACGCCAAATCGGTCTAGATTTGAGGTTACAAATTACACCACCGCCAGTTCCGTACAACGCCTTTCGTTGCTGACTTACCCCACCCGAATCCACCAAATGGATTATAGCTCCAGTGGCCGCGATGAGGTTAGACTGAGCTGACTACAATTAACGATGCATTTCTCTGGCGGTGAAATCAATACAAAGAGATAGCTCATATCATCTATTTTCTCGTATCTGTTAAGAGTCTTCCTATTGAATTCTTGATAATACTCAACAAAGTCAGGGTAACACTAAGAGTCTTCATCATTAAGGGCGAGAGGAAATGAGCGTCAGTGAAGGCAAACAAGTATACACTATGGTGGCTTCATTGTCCGAGTGGATTTCTTTGTTGAGATAGTATCACAGCATTGTGACCATGACAAGAATGCTGACCACTGCCTCCCCTCAGCACTACAAACTCCATCGTTGCAATTACCAATGCCAGCTTGATCAAAAGTCTTTACTTATGACCCAGTCACCACGAGCAAGTATTGGGGACTTCAAGATGGCAATGCTTGGACTTCTACTGCGATAAGTTGATGTCCATCAAAAGCGCCAGCATTTGATGATCTAATATATGAAGCTTATACCCCTTGTGAACTTCAAAAGAGACTGGAAGCCTCGAAAAGTTTCGATTGATAAAGATTTATATTTTCAACCACTTGTCACACCAGGCAGACCTTTCCAGCTGTCAACGACAGAGACGGCCTACCTAGTGCACATAGGCTTGTAAAAGAATATCCCGGAACAGATGTAGCATCACATGGCATCATTTACAATTGTACTTACGGAAATTAAGAAATATCTATAGTTATTAATACTTCATGAAATACTACCTACTAACTCGGGTACACATTTGCGCATAGGCATATAGGCTCTGGAGCTTCCGTCATATGCCACTGCTATATTAGTAGCTATCTGGAAATTGATCTATATAAGATATTTCTCACATGCCTTAAGGAAGCTAATAGGAATCCAAATCGAATATATCCAGTTGACTAACGTTATAGGATTGTCCTTGCTAATTAGTGCTCTTGGCAATGGCTTCAAGCTAGAATGAAACCACTAATACAAGTCGAGTTACCTTTGCTGCTGAAAGGGTAAGAATTCAACACAGCACATAATTGGGATACTTTGGATATGGGGTCGAGAATCCGCAACACAATGGGCGAAATCTGCGTCGATGGTACAACATATAGCATCTCTCTTCGTAGAATTGAGCATCACTTGATTCCCGTAGACTTGTCTATCGGATATCAGCGGCGTATCAAAATGGTCATAGATCATATGGTGGTACACAATTGCCATGCTAGCGTATGGCGTAATCATACTTCTGTGTTACCATTCCTCCTTGAAAAGCTATTAAGGATGCTTCCACTACCTAAACCGCCAGTAGACCGACTTGAAGATAGGTAACTTAGTGATAAAATTTATGCGCAGATGTTTGCTGGAACTGCCGGTTTCGATGTGGACTCCAGTTGAAGCATCTGCATTGAATAGCAACTCCAGACGACTCTCCAGTACTGTTAGAAGCTCCAGTAATACTCTGTAAACGCGCCCCAGGCGCTTAACCAAAACACGGAATTGTAAATGTTCCGTCCTTTGTTAAGGGACTCGAGGCATTTGAGTTTGAGGGCAATGGTGAGTAAATGAGCTGGCCGTTACCAGCGTAAGTAAGCTTTACCTGCAAGCCAAAGCACTGCTCTAGACAGGGGTCGAAATAATACGCAGTGCCTAATTCTTTTCGCTAGTAGAGCATGCAGCACTGCAACTGACACCGTTGTCGTATCGTCAAGGTTGTTACGTATTCAGTTCCTTGTGGTGGCGATTAATCTTTTTGTGGCATGCTGACGCCTGCTGTTGGGTTCCGATTAGCGTCTGTGACACTTTGGACGACGATCTCGCTTTTGTGACACTTAGGAAAAGACGTCGCCTCTGTTTCAACGCAAAAGCACTTGGATAATGCCTTCAATCATCGTAGTGGTGTATAAAACTGGTATGAGCCACTCGTGTGCATAGAATGTCCTAGTGTTGGCTTTCGTTTCAGTGGCACCAACACTTGCCGGAAATTTGGGGTGCCCGGCTTCATCGGTGGAGACCTGGAAGTATCATTTAGCTCGACTTTCTGTTTCAGAAACCGTCATGGGGCAGAACCCTGGGAACATTGCCTCGGGTAATGCAGTTGTTCTGGATCCCATCCATCACGTTCTGAAACTTGAGAGGCACAAGCGACTCGCCTGGATCACCCCAGGTATTCAACAGACTCTTGAGCCTGATTTCAGCATTGGTACGGTGGCTAAAAGGGCGTTTTCGGGGCAGGGGGGTTGCGCCACGAAGCCATGAAGGCGTGTGAGGTTTGCAGTTACCGTGAGCAAACCTCCCAAACGGGGTTCCCAACCACCAGGAACCCAACCCCTGACTTTGCCGTTGGTATGGCAACTACAGTTGGAACAGCCGCAGTCGGAGCCGCAGTCGGCTGTCTGGTGAATTTATGCTTAACTTGATAGTCGTGGTGATGGCATTGCACCGAATGGTCTGAAGCTACCACCTTAAGATTGTCTACGGGTTACTTTAAAATTCACAATTATTTTCACACATTACTAAAAATTAAAAAAAACGATAGTGCTAATAACCACTTCTTTTTTTGACTACAAGTGCAGTACGGACAAACCGCTTCCGTTTAATAAAGCACAATTCCTCATTAGTGGGAAGTTCTCTCTTAACTCTCACAACAGGGGAGGAAGAGTCAGGTTTACGTCTACGCGCAGTAGTCGGTCTGGGGATGCTGATTCTGCCCCCCTCTGTGATGGCGTCAGCAAGCGCATAAGCGCCCTTCATCACAACCTTCTCCGGGAAATCCGTCGGCGGCATCTTTTTGCGGATAGCATTGAGGGAATCCCCAACCATATCCACTAACTTGCGGTCGTGAGCCAAACCCCCCAAGAGCACGAGGGCGTCAGTGTCCAGCTTCAAGAACTTACGGGCCGGAACCGTGTCTTTGAACAACTTGTTCACTTGATTGACGATCACTTTGCGGAACTTTTTGTAGTATTCTCTCAGAATAGTTTGGGAAAAGACTTTGTCCTCAAAATTCACCTCGATCGTGGCGGTCTTGCCTTCCACCAACAATGGAAGCGCCCCGTTGACGCCATTAAAAATCAACCGGCGAAGCTGGTGCTTCCGGCGGACCATGTTGGAATCCGGGAAAGACTTGTCCACCAAATACTCCTTGCGTTTCTTGTCATCCATCACAGATTTCGCATCAGGAGCGATGTAATTCGGCTTGTCGTACTCAAGGATGTTGACCCCGTACAACTCGTTCAATTCGGGGGCGTGGCGCTTCACAAAATCCTTGTGGATCAAATTGGCACAGGCGTTATCTTCGTGGAAGCAGTCCGCAATGATGAGCTCGCCTTCGTTCTTCAGCACAATGGACGCAGTCAACGTTTGACCGAGGTGGACCACAGCTGTGTTCTTCACAGCGTCGTCCTCATCCAACCCGTGGTAGGTGACGGCAAGCACCAGTTCTTCCATCACCTTCGTGTTAAAGCCAGCCAGCATACCACTGCAGTGTACATGGTTCTTCTGTAATTCCGTCGCATAGTCAGGTACAGAAATCACAGCATCAGTGATAGGCGTTTTCTTGCCCAGGGGACCCTGCGACTCTTTCTTCATCTCACGCAAGATCAGGCCAATAAATCCGCCAGGGTAATAGGAGATCACTTTCCCGTTACAAGGTAAATCAACTCTCAAGCGTTCATCTTTGCCAACCACAAGCTTATACGGAAGCTTGTGCTTGTTGTTCATCAATTCATTTTCCGACGCGGTGAATTCCAATTGCTTGGGATTGACAACAAAGTGGTCGGGGATGATTGCGGCTTGCTGTAAAGCTTCCTTGCCAACAATGAGATTCTTCCCGTCAGAACCAGCGACAGCAGGCATGGAGATTTCCTTGGCTTGGCCGTCGTCCGAGTATGTCATCCGGAATTCTGAGGACCCGAGGTCGACTCCAGTCGCAATGATTGAATTGGTAGGGTTGGTCATGAGTAGTGTTATGAGAAAGGCTAATAGTGGAAGCTATTCGGGCTTTATAGTGGGTCGTGTAGCCACCTCACATAGGGGTGACTTTACAACGTATTCTGGGAGGTGGGTCTGGTTGGCCCACGCCATTGTTTCCGCCAGTGGTGGGGGGCTAATACGACGAGTAGACGCCGTCACACGCCTCCTCTTGCTCGTCAACTCGCGGAGAGGCGGAGCCAATGGTCGCACGGGGCGACCATTGTTGCAAAATCTCCTTCACGTTCCCGCCCAGCTGTTCGTCTACAGCACCTGCTAAACTTGCTTGCACCTTGGTTCGCGGCAACACTGACGCTTGCCCTGCTGCGGAGATGTCTTTAGCGTTTCCTGCCAGATTAGGATCGATGGATAGTCGATGGTATGCATGAGCCGATAGCCCAGCGCACGTCGCCTTTTTCGAGGGCTGCATAGCCCCTGAGTGCTCGCGGCCTGTGGGCGTCATGCCAAGCAAATGTGCTGGCCATCGACTGGAGACCGCCTTTGCAAGCGGAGGGGTTGTGCACCGCTCATGGGGACATGCCATCGGCTCGTAATTTATGACAGGCCCCCAAGAAATTTACGATGAGGGTACAGGCGATACCCACTAGACCATTGCGATTGACGTGGCCTTCCCCGTCGAAACAAACTCATGGTAGTTAATGGAACTTGCACCACCTCCCGTGTCAATGACGAAGTAAGTGCCTCTGGTCGTGGCCTGGTGCAAGCAATGGCGTTGGCGCTCTTGACGCTGACACAATGGCTCCGGCAGGCAGCGCAGCGAGGCTTTCCTTCGTTGGTGAGCGCTATGCCAGCGACAAAGCGGAATGTGGTCGTCAAGACGAGCTGCGAGATGGAGCGTCGTCGCCATACCGACAAGTTGAGATGACCACGAGGTCTAGGAAGTCAGCACAGGTAGCGTGTGGTGACCGTACATCTTGCGGAGTCCTTTGGGGTTACCTGAGATTAACGCCGCTAGCGCAAGATGTATGCGAGTACTCTTTGCCAGGTCCCGATATGCACCGAAAATTAGGCGGAAAAAGAAATTCACACCACCTTTTTTTTTTTTTCAGGGAAAAAAAATTATTTCTTAGTCCCACTCTGAGCCCCCCTAACAACGGCGCTGGCCAGCCCGCGCATGCCCCGACAACGCCATTGTAATGTTGGCTAGACGATACTATCGTCCCCGGGGCGGCGAGCAACATGCACGACGACGCCAACATTCCCGACGCCCACAGCGGTGGGGTTGTTGGGCCGGTGGGTAGAGTGACGAGGGATAATGGCGGGGGGTCATCAGAAGGTTGGACTAGGGTGGTGAGCAAGAGCGGTTTTAATGCTAGGTTTGAGTGATACGTAGTCGTAGAGTGTTGTGGTGGAGCCACTCAGTCTTCAACAAATACAGGTTTTGGACCATGGGACCTGCTGGTAGAGATGTTGGTTGGTGTAGTTTTTCAGCGATGTGGTGACCCGCCGCTCACCTGATGCCACACGGTAGCGCGATTGTGTCTTCCATACTAGCGACCAAAGCGGCGAGGTCAGTGGTGTTGCCAGTGAACGAAGTTGTACTACAAATGTGTTTGCGTCAGTCTGGACTGGGTGCCAGTCCATATGTGGATGTACATTAGCTATATTAAAGGAGAAGAGTGTTGAGCTCATGACGAGGTATATTTCGCGGGCAGACCCACCGGAAACAAGGCTGACTCGGTTTGAAACCCCGAAGGGCAACAACCTCGTCCGCCGTCGTTGGGTGGATGCGTCGATAAACCAAAGAACGTTCCAAGTTAGCAGGTTAATCTCTCTTGAATGCGCGTACACACTCAGCTGTAACACCCAAAAAGAGCGGAAAGAACTTAGAGCCTGAATTCTTCTTCCCTTCATTGGTTATGATCACACTGATTCCAAGAGGCAATAGCACAACTGTCCTCAGTGATCGCCTTCCTCATCACGAGTGTCAACACGCCCCACACATGTCCCAGGGTAGGGCAAGGGGGGGCAAGGATTTCCGTGAGTGGTGGGAATTGGAAATAAAAACCCAGTGCAACTCAGGAGTTTTATGATCGAGCCTGCAGATGACCACGCCTATGTGAGAGAGAGGAATTACACTGCTCTGAGGTGGGGTCAGTTCCACTCATCGCGATACTTGTGAAGAGCATACTTCAATTGGAAGAGAACGACATACACCTTAATTCTCCATCAAGCACGATCTTGATCAAGCACTGTGGTGTTTCAAGCAAACAAGTTCAGCTTACAATATGGGCCTATTGCGCGAAGGACGTCTTCGAGTGAGGAAACTTCAATAACGTCGTACATGATAGTACATGAGTCTAGGCCTGTCTCAACCTTCTCTCGACCTCTTTCTCGTTAAGATTAGGGGTTTGAGGAGGTCACCCTCATGAAAGCCCTGCTTTTGCAACCTTGGCCTACCGTAGTATATATAGATTCTCGGGGTGCAGCAAAAAAAAAAAAAAAAATAAAACTACAGTTTTCTAGATTTATGGTGCTAGTTTTAGGGTCTCGCTACCTAAGGTCACCCGTTCTACAGGCCCCTACCAAAACTTTCTTTTACTCTTTCCACGAATCATGCAGGACTGCATTTATATTCATGCATACATACTGCACTACAAAAATAAAGTTTCGAATCAAATCAAAAACCAATCCACGTTATTGGCATTGTTCATAATTTGTTCCATGATTACGGGGGTTTGTTTTGAGTAAAACATTTGATAAGCGCGATTGTTTCGAAATTTTAAAGTTGAAACTTCAACACTCAAAGTAATTCCAGAAATGAAAATAAAAAAAAAAATTCAACCCAAATTTCAACTTCACATTTTGCTGGACCTATTTGTCGCACGTTGATTTTTGCGTCACAAGATGTGAGTAAGCATCTGAGGCGAAGCCTTTCATAGATGCACCTTCGTCTGCATTTGTGGTAAATGCAGAGCAATGTGTTAAAGCCCAATGTTTCAATTTTAGCCGAGTTTGCCTGTTCATGAAAGATACAACCTGGGTGTCAGCCACTATGCGGATATTTACCAACTGCAAAACAGGAGGGAGGTGTCGAGCCCACGAAAAAAAATTTTACGGTCCCACTCATCCAATGACAAAACTCGAATTCTCCTGAAAGCCATAATGAGCTTGGAGCCTCGATCATCATTGTGTCGTAAATGCGATAACGTTACCAACGCCTAGGTCCCGTAGCAACAGTGTTCTTTTTGAAAACAAGATCGAGCCAGAACTTCGAGTGGCAAAATGACTGAGGTTGGTACGCTTATTTAGTTTTGATGCTGACCCTACTGCTGCCACGGGTAACCTTCGATGACGCCATTGGGCACATTCCTCGTCACGAGTATCAACTAACAACGTCAGCACGCTCCACAAATTTTCCATGAGTGAAAAAAAAGGGGCAAAATTTTTTGTGGTTGAGTCCAGCCAAGTTATCTGGAGAAACCTTTTGTTACTTTGGATTTGCAGTTACAATTATGATCATCTTGCATGAAAATGCACGGTACATGCAGCAATCAGCGGTCTCACTTGCAGGAACATACATACTCTAGTCATTCTAAGAAAACTGCACCACCCCTCGGCATGATTTCACGGTGATTACGATTGACGACTAAAATCACACGAAGCACCGTTTGCGGATTTCAGCTAGCAGCAATCCTTAGTTAATTTTCTCGGATCGACACCTTCGAGTCAGCGTTGCAGCAAGCGGTGCCGTCTCTTTGTCGTCACACTGGCTCGGTCTTTGGCTACTTAAGATGTTGTAATTATTGAGACTACACCACCCGTAATCAGTGACACGGAAACGTTGAAAGAGAACTTAGACCACCGTGCAGCACCATCTCGCGTCAAGCCAGACCTGATGTTTCGTATCTTCGTAAAGCTAGGAGTCCACAACAGACTTCTGCTAGTGGCAGGTTTTGCTAATAGTCTCGATCTTATCATGATGAAACCTGGTCGAGTCTTTCCAGCGTTACAAGGCGTCCAACTTTCGCCGCCCCCTTCCGCCCCAGATACTATTGTGATGGAGACATACGACATTTTTACATAATGTCGCTTGCGACATCGTGTCGCACCACTCTTGCAAGCTCTATATTGAGTACGTAGTGAAGGGCCCAGAATTTTTGATGAGGTGGGGACCTCGTTGTATGATCGTTTGGTCCACACTTTGCACATTATTACATAATATCCTTAGGGACAATCACGAAGCCAACATCACCGATTCGAAAGACCGCGGCGAACCTAACCATCTTCAGTGCGTTAATGGCTTCCACATACTTGCCACTGATGGCGGCCAACGACTCCCCCGCCCACTGTGCAGTTAAGTTTCTCCGAACTTGTATTCTGAAGAGAAAGTCGACCTTGTGTCATCCAGTACGACACAGGGTGCGCCATGCTCAACAACATGCCACTTGATAATGTCCCTAGCTGCCGGCCTGGTTTTTGCCAAGTGCCATCGCTGGCAGCAACACTAACAGGTACATGCTGTCTATTTCCACCAATACTTCAGCTCCCGTGCACAATCACTATACCTTCATTGTCGACATTAACGAGGACGCTGCCGCCTGCCACGAGCACACCCAGGCAAATTTACTCAACTAAGTGGTCGGTTACATCATCTACGCCTACTTAAACGACTGCGAGCGGTCGCTACTGGTGGTGACTGTTTGTCACTTTAGGGGCGGGGCGGTGGGACGAGAGATGGTCACGCCCCCTGGCTCCGTCTCCACTCGAGCAACACCACCGTCAACACAATCATACCGCACAGAACTTTGCTGCTCGGCGTTTGACAGCATAAATTGCCCGTCTTAAACCTTAGACCGCCTGTTCTTGTGCGTCGGCTTTGGCGGCAACATCGCCGAGGTGGTGGCCCAATGGCCGCTCCAACTTCACCACTGGCGACGTGTTAAACAAACCTTCCCAGCCTAGGATAACATGTAAATTATATAACAACTGATGATTGCCTAATTCTTGATATTATTGTAACTTGCTCATACTAATAACTAAATTCCTCTGATAACTGATATGCTCATATGACGTCGCTAAGAATGTTTTTGGATGGCCCAATTTGTCGGAGACTTCACTTTGTACTCGATGGCTGGCAACGCTTGGGTGCCAGACAATTGTTGTTTAGAGTCAAAAGGCGCTGCTCGCACCAGCATCATGTCGACATCCTCATCAACATGGGTAGGTATGATAACATGATTACTCTGGGACCGACGGGAGGCAAAGAAGGGATTGTTGGCCATTGATGGAAGCCGGAACGTCTTGACTTCCCAGGGTTGGCCTTGGTATCCCCACAGTCCAAAATTATACGGCTTGTTGTGCGTGGGGTTCGTCAACAGACCGCCATGCGGGATGTTGGTGGCGATAGTGTAGTTTTGCTCCACTGACTGTTGGGCAGCCGTTTGGTAGCAATTCGAAATCGTTTGCTGAGTAGCCATTTCTTGGTAGGTTGCCGTAGTTCGTTGCATAACAATCCCATGGTTCATCAGAACCGCCTGCTCGGTGGTCATTTCTTGGTAAGATTGTATGGTTTCAGCAACGGCCGATCCAGTCGTAATAGTTTCCTCAACAACAGCGGCGCGGGAGATCTGATGGTTTATAGGCCGCTGCATATGCCCCTGTTGGTAGTGTTGTCTCTGATAGTTTTGCTGGTGGTAGGTGACGGGTTGCTGGTAAAATGGCACCTGCTGAAACAGTTGCTGATAGGATTGCTGATGGAGTTGCTGATAAGATTGTTGGTGGGACTGCTGATCGGGCTGTTGGCATTGATACACATGCTGATTGCTTTGTAACTGTTGATAGTTAGCTTGAGTAGGCGTCACCCATTCGTCCTTTCGCCCCTGTGAGTTTGCCACCACCGGTTGATTCGACGGCATCCATGGTTGGTTGGACTGAATAGCCACCAGCTGAGCAGTCGCCCATTGATTAGTCCGTTCGTTATTGCTGTTGAGTAGTTGTTGAAATTGTCTGTTGTGGGATTGGAATTGTCTGGCATTGAACCGTTGATTGGGCTGGATAGCGTTCGCGTGTTGACCAATAACCGAGAAGTTCTGGGTCGGAGACGGGTTGGCCAGTCTCGAAAACCCACTGGCACCAGAGGCTAAAGACTGGAGCGCTTCCTTTGAGCGCTGATCACTCTGGCGTCGGTTTCTGCCCCTGCCCGTTGGCGGGTGAGTCTGTTGGTGCTGTCTCAATTGGAAGTGGTTTGGAAAAGTTCGCCCACACCCTGAAGCATGGCACTTAAACAGCAGAGAGCCCCTTGGACGTCGCTGGTGCGCTCGAGTCCACTGGTCACTATGGTAGCGTCGGTTGTGACGACTCAACTCCCGGAACTTCACCCGCTGGCCACAGTAGCGACAGATGAGATGATCCTTAGGCGGGGGCGCCAGTGAGAATAGCGGCAGTTGAAATGGGGCAGAGTAGGCCATGGTAAGTCACCGGAAATTGCTGGTGGTCAGTAACAATGAGAATCGAGTGTAAAACAATGGTGCCCGCACACAGAGCACGCTTACCCGATGCCGGCCTCGGTTAATGGCTCAAACATTCTTGCCGCACATAAACGAAGGTCATGGTCATTCCTTCTTCCAAATGCAATACGACAAGGCCGTATGTTTGGATTCTAGCGTCGAAAGTACCGACTACAGAGCAAATGAAAACAAATTCCAGAGCACAGGTGTCCGGGTTGCCCTTTAAAATTCGTCTCCACACGCACTGGCATTGGAGGCAAGTGGTGGGGTAGCTTGCGATGCGCAAAGGTGGTGGTGCGACAGACGGATTGGCTGGTGGACCACACTGAACCAGAAGACAATGGTATCAGCATTTGAGAGTGATGAATGGGTATGATGATGATAGCATGGCACCACGACATCATGCGATGATGGTGGTTTCAAATTGCCATCACGTCTACGGGTTGAGCCGTTACTTCATGATGCATCGTATCTATACGAACCAATCCCTGGTTGATCTATTTCTTCTTCTTCGCCTTATCCTTGCCCTTGTGTCCCTTCTTCAACAAGTCGCCGTTCACGGCACAGTCCAACAAGTATACCGCGTCCCCCACCGTTTGCGGCAGATGGTCGCCGATGAATGATGCCACAAGCCGCAATACTTCGTCGCGAACAAGCTGAGGCGTCGCTCCCAACAATAGGAGCCGGAACACCACTAGCCGCACGAAGTCTTCGGCCTCGACGTCGTCGCCAAACGCGTGCCAGAGACTCTTACTCCACCGATCGACGTGCCCCAAAGTTTCCGGGTTTTCCTTTTCGAACGTGATGAAAATGGCGATGATGCGCCGCAAATTGCAGAGGGTATAAGTATTGGTGTCGAGATCAATGATATCGGCAAACACCGAGTGAAGTTCTTCGTTGATGGCGTGCTGGATGGCATAATCGGGCACGGCATTCTCCCCAGTTACCCGTATCACTTCGTCAAGGTCCTGTATCAGCAGCACCACCTGATTTAACACGACGCCACAGATGGGGATTAGCTTTAGAAGCTTGCCCAACGGGTGCTTCTTATTATCGGGGATATGCTGTGCTTCACGGACAAAATCGTTTATCTCGCCTCTAAGCTCGTCGAGCCGGGCCCGGTAGTGACCATTGATGCACCCGTCGTCGGATTTGGGGGGTTCCATCACCTCCAGAGGTTCTCGGCTCCACATCCCGTACTCCGGGTAGTTGGCCTTATATAGGCACTCGCCCACAAGCCGAAAGCGGTCGTCGTGGTCCCACAGCAATATATCGTCGATGGTGACCCGTTTCCTCAGCGGGAACACCCGGATGGGCGGCCGGGAGCTGGTGGAGTCGTTGAACAAGTGGCTGCCCCGGTTGTCGTCGCTGCGGCGCGATTTGGTGTTGCTGAGCACGATGAGGTGGTCGTCGCCGGCCTCGAAACTGTCGAACTTGGTGAGCTCAGCCGTCATTGCGTCGATGGGGTCCCTGGTGCCCACACGGTGGTTAGCGGAGCGAACCCCACTCGCCAGATTATATGAGTCGCGATGGTTGCGAGCGCGGGGAGCAGCTCCTCCCCACCAAAGAAAGAGACAAAAGGATTCATGATCCGCCAAAAATCAGCCACAAGACGGCCATAGCGGTAAATTATGAGTCTGCCGATGATTCTGTGATATCATAAAATTCATATTTCACCCTGTTATGGCCAATCCTCGCCGCTTCTGATCTGTCTCCATCGCCACCGCCATCGCGCTGTTTTTGCCACTGGACCCTGCCAAGAGCACGTCTCACCAGGGCCACCTGATAACTCCGCCACGATCGGCTTAGCGCTCGGATCAGCAATAAAATGACGATCGCGTGACAGAACCCCAGCTGCGTGTCGGCATTTATCTAATTGTCACAATGCATTTTGCACCACATCGCAGACGTCATCGTTGACAAGAGCAGGCGACCGAGGGGAAAGGACTTGGGCGACTACCAGTGAAAGTATTCGAATTTTAGCTTCGCCTCGACAGGGCCACTTCCGCAGTCCCGATGATGCCAAGACTTGGCTGCAAATATGTCTACGGCAAGGTTACTTACTAATCTGCGACGAGCATAGGACTTCTCAATTGACAGTGCGTGATCATCGAGATGCGTTTAGCGGGGGGACACGGTTTTTTTCCATAAAAAGTAGTATAAGTAGATACAGTTTACAGCTGTCAAATGCTTTAGCCATCCGACAGACGGATCACGTCAAATCATCACATACATTCGCTGCTTTCGGTCGAATTATATGACTTGCGTCAATCGTATCGTCCGGGCTCAGCGCCAAAAGTAGTGTCTTCACCCTAAATATAGCATGGAGAAGAACCTCTTATTACCCGAGAATGACGACGAATGGATGATTGCGCCCCATTAGTCGTTGTCATTGAGATACCAAGGAGGTTTACTCTAGATCTCGGGAATTCCCGAAGGTCGAATACACTCGCTTTCTAGGTCCACAACATCACTCAAATCGATTTTCGAAACCTCGATAAATCAAAAGCCAGTTTAACTTCAACACTTGTCACTATAAATTTCTATTGATTGAGGCTAGCGGTGGTTAAGCTCCGCGTGGTACGGAGTGCACACAAGCATCGATTCATTTGCGCAAGTCAAGTCTACTAAGCGATTACTACCAGTGCTCTTCAATCTCTTTCCACGGTCCCCCTATGAGTTCAAAATTGATTTGATTTGATGACCAACTGAAAGTATGGTGTTCGTTGACAAGTTGTTGCTCGTTGGGATTCCGCAGGCATCGATTTTGATTACATCCTGATGAGCCATGATTGCTTCATTTCCAGATCCTAGGCCCAATGATTAGCTCTCCCAAATCATTCTCGAGTTTGATATGGGGTACCAATGGCTTGATCGAATTGCGTAATTAAGCTAGCGCATCTCAATCCCAGCTTTTGTTGACGTCTGTTAAGCTATTGATATCGTTTCGAGAATGAAGAAGACTTGACGATTAAACTTGACTGAATCATTCCGTTCGTTATATTTGTGACTATGTCGATAGAATCCCGACGAATTTGGTTTTGGAATTCGATTATTTCCCGTGGGGAACCTAGTGATTCTTACTTTCCTAGGAAACTAATTTTGATGGGCAGCGTTGTTCCAAGATCCAAGAAAAACTGACTCTCTGACTCGAGCGATGGCGACTTCACGGTGATTAAATTTTGTTTCAGTACACCTAAATCGCCTGATTAACAAATGACACCAGATTCCGGTATTAATCGACGCTCAAGTGGGGTTTCCATATGGAGCAATGCCTGGCGATGATCACGTCACTGCTGGGATGCAAATGGACCGGAATGATAGGCGTCTTCAAACTTCGAGTTCGATAAAGCGGTGCCACCAAGTACGATTCTGACTCATATTAATATAGGAGCCTGTCAAAATAAGAGAACTAATAGCGCGTCTATATTTTGTGATGGCTTCCGACGCATTTTGGAAGATCTCCATGCTTTGTTTTGAACACTGAAATGTGGTGTTATGTTGATTTACTGCTGATTACTATACGCTTATCAGACGTGGCTAAAACTTTCTGCACTACACCAATTAGCGAAAGTAAATGGCAATTGATGACAGGCATTCACTCGTTAGAGCATTGCAAGACTGTTTTGCAATGGTTCTGTGGAAACAAACCAATTTGGCGCCCCATTGCCCGAACCTTAAGCTATTTGCCGTGGCTTATGTTTTTGAGTAGGGGTAACTGTCACAAGGTAACAAGAATGGTTTTCTCTATAGCCAACTATCCATGCTTGACGCTGGGTTCAAACCTCATCTATGCCTGTTACTTTTATCCTCATTAGTTTGAGTTATTGGGTGCTATGATCAAGCGGTACAATCTGGCTACCAATGCACTACAAACGTTGGTGGCTCGCAGTATAAGCAAAATCATCCATTAAGCTTTGCTCATTTCCGACCATTTTGCATCAAGTTGCCGGTATGATTGGTTTGATTTTTCTTCTCTTTACTTCAATTCGTTGGTTGAAGTCACTATCTGTACTACTACCCTACTATTCCATTATCTCCAATATATAACGGTATTTCCTTCCATTATCGTTCTCGATCTCAAGATCATTTCTCGTACTCATACAGCACCATCTATAGGTTTTGAATTTCGTCGGAATCCTCATTCATGGAAGTGTTGTTGAGATCAATAGGAAGTCAACTTCGTCGGTGTCACTGTCGGAATCCATCTTGAAATTCTCGCCAAAGAGAGTCTCCGGAAAGCGACGGCACTGGATGAGCCATCGGAGATCTCGTCACGGGGGAGTTCTTGCTCGACTCCAATCAATTCAAGCCCAAAAGTTATCAATATACTTTTCGTTTAGTATTCGGTTCAAAACGTACCAAAATATGGAAGTTCCCTTGAATGATTCGGGCTTGTGAAAAATGATGGTGTCTCGATTCGTTGTCTTTACCTCATTGATTGCTTTCCCCAGACCCAGTTGTTGATCACCCCGAATAGATGAAGCGACAGGCTTGTTCCCGTCTTAAACTATTCGGTATTTTGAGAAAGCCCTAGTCCAATCTGATGAACCGGTGAAGACCATTTTGAGTACACACAGGGATTTTGTAGGCCTTGGTGACGGCATGAATCTAGTATGTAGACTCTAGTCCTCGAATTTAATGGTATGTCTTATAACCTTAGTTTCTTGGCTTCAGCGTCAGCGTGGCCCACCTCCTTCGTTATGGTAGAAGCTGGAAAATGTGACGACGTATAAGCCTGAATGTGACAGCGCACGGTCCAACACAATTGCCCATGAATTCGAGTCATTCTGGTGGCGTCAATCGCTTGGCCTTTTTTGATTGGATCTTTGTCGATACTGGATCTCCTTCACTCACACAATCGTTTCGAACCAATGCCAACTAGATTGTGTTCAGTTTCACCAACTTTTGGTTGTGGTTGTTGTGGCGGTGATGAAAATGGTGGCGGTGGTGACACATCCCATGAAACAAGACTTACATCATTCCCACACACCCCGATCACATCAATTTTATTTCGTTGGGAAAATCTTTGAAGGTTTAATTGACGAGGAATCATTTAAAATGGATTAGTCCACTTTTGAGTTGTAGTTAGGTTTTGGTTTTAGATCTCTTCCACTGAAATCTCCTCATTAGTTATCTAACTTCCCCTTAAACCCGAGGTGCGTCACATACCGTCCCACCAGTTTCAGATTTTTGCCACCTCCATCACAACACAAACAACCCCAAAGACCTGCCAATTGCATTTGTTTATTGATTAATGTGCAAAGGTTTTGCAAATCGTTGTAATCGATTAGTGCCGGCGTTGAAGCAGCACGACATTTTCGCCAATTTGGCAATTGACCCTCACTCTCAAACTGAAGGACAATGATTTCCACAAACCTCATCCACTCAGAGTCCTCACTGGCTTCGCTGCTAATTGTGTTGGTTGTTGTGGTTAGCTCTGTCACTGCTAGAAGCGAAGCTAATATTTGCGCTGACCGCCACCTAACGGTGCTCAGGAAAGCTAAACACATTTGGATACACGCCGGTATTATTTTTGACGAGTCTAATATGATTTGCCCTGCTTTAGCTCCCATTACAAAGCACGTCACAACTTTGCAAGAGGTGAGGCAGAGCCATCATAACTGTATCATGACAACTTATCCATGACTCATGCTCCAATTGCGGCTTTGGTTTTGATCTGAGGGCTTTTCATATTTCCCCGCCACGGTGGAAAGCTCTGAAATACATGAGAGCTGGATAGGGATACTCAAAGGAAACCCATGTAAGCAACGGTCATTGTCCTCATTGGCAGAACGCGTACGGAGCGTTGGTTTTAAATTTGCTTACATGCTTGTGCAATCATCGCCTTGCTTTTGAAAGGCATTTCTCGCACACCAGTTCTTCAACTTGCTAGGTTGACCTTCGGGTGAACTGATGAACTTTAAGCATTCCCAATCGTTGGAGTGGATACTTCAGAACTATATGGAGATGACCGAAGTTCTCATTTGTTTTTAATCTAAACTCAGCAATGCGATTGACTGCGATTTGGTGATATAATTTGGCACGCTAAAAAGTTTCCCAAGCTTATCGACGAACACACATTATTGCAAGCTTGTAACTTAAACGATGTCACGTTTGCTAACCCTCTAGTCGAATTGTGAGTAACACCGAACACCGGTGGTGTAAGCATGACTACTATGGAACATGTGGAAGGGAAGCCTACGTCGCTTCGAGTTTCTTGTGCCGTGAACTTCGCGACGCTGGTCGTCACCATTAGATGGCCCCACAGACTGTGTACTTCCAATGTTGATTTTCACGAATATAAGCGGGAGTCACGCTTATTGTACAAAGACTTCAGAAGCACCGCTTCCATAATTCGAAGTTGTTAGTAATGGATAATGGATCTACGTGAAGACCCTGAGTGGTATACCGTACGTAAATATGTTCAAATTATAGCAAAATATTTTTATGAGATTCCAAAATTTCTACATACGCTTTGAGAATGAATTCAAACTGAAAATTAGACTGTTCAGGAGCTGTAATATTGCTGTAGTCTAGAAACCTGAACCATTCGAAGTTGAGTAAAGTCTAGAAAACGTAGGATGAAAAATAGCCGGTGAATGTTTTTACTAGCTCACACGTTCTTCCTTTCTCATTTCACGCCTTGTTGCCAGGATCATGTGTTCGTATTGAGTTTCTTTTTGAAGAAGCGTCCACGAGCCGAGGTCGGATCGGTTTTGTGTTATCAAACGCTGTCTAAAACATCAAGAATAATCAACTTTGTGTATTTGCTGAATGCAGTAGATGGGAACTTATAGGCATGTCGTTGTAGGTTATGTGCGGTTAATGGAATTTTAAAATAGACAAACCGATTGCCACTTTACAAGGTATAACCAGGCAAACAACACTTGAGCTTGAGCTTTTTTTGAAGAGACCCCTAGGTGAGCATGAATGCCCGTTGGTGTGATAGCGATGGGCTGAACCTACCTCTTTCCATACAGAGTTGAAAAGGTAACCCTAAGTTGATATTCAAGACTGACTGAGTCAAACAATAATTGTGAGTTTAAGCATGAGAGAGTTAAGCATAAAGTCACAAAAAGCGTTTGGAAAATGCTAAGCGTCTCGAAAATGCTAAGCGTCTCAAAAATGCTAAGCGTCGGTGGTATTTCTTATTCATTGTCCAGTGACCAAGAAGTTCCAAGCCAATCTCACCCCTTGAAAAGCTTTGCAGGGTGAAATGCGAACCAAACGACTGGAATTTACAATAAGCTACTGGCTGCCTTGAATGGTTGTCAACTCTACGTTAATTCCCCAGCTCTACTTCTCTTTTCCATTCCACAACCATTGGCTTCTCGTCGTCTAGCCGCACTAAATTGATGACCTCAAATTGCGAGCGTTTCCCCCATTGTTCAAACTAATTTTTTTTTTTTTTTTTCCCCGGTAACATAAAAGGTGGCTGGCTCTCCCTTTTTTTTCTTCCCTTCAACAACTATTCATCAACTATATCTATTGCCAGAAGGAGTGGTACCAGTCTAGCGGGACGCCGGTATGATTTGGACTTCACCTAATGGCGGGCACTATTGTCCACCTCGAGTCAGTTGCATGTCTTCCTGAGACTAGATCCCCCACGAGCGGTAGGGAGATTCACAAAGCAGAGCTTGAGGCGCGGTGCTTCTCGTCATCCCGCGGTCTCCTGAGGCCACCACTGGACCGGTTGTTGAATACCATGTGGATTTGGCCAACGACGGACACACTCAGGCGAAGTGGAGTGGTCTGCTACGTCAGCTCACGCTATAAGCAGGGTCACAGGACTATCGACGGCTAAGACACCTGCTCGGGTTCTCTTCAATGTGTATGATAACTTCCCCAGAGCCGCTTCCAACCTGTGAGGGTAATCGATGATGAAAGCTTACACGTATGATTCAACAATTGAGTACAGATGGCCGCTCTACTAGCGGTTTACAAAAAGCTTTGAGATTAGCCTTAATGTCACTAGCGAAAGATGGTGTTCAAATCATTGGTCGTGGTTCACTTCACGTGAGGTAGCCGTGGCTGATGAGGAGATCCCTTGCAGAGTTGGTTGCTGACATCAACATAACCTTTCATGGTAGTATGGTGTCCTGGGATACCCGAAGCGCTAAGATAGTTGCGGGCAATTGCTCTCTGGTGAAGCTATTTTCCTTTCAGGGCTGGCGACCTTGGGGAATTAGTAGTAGTCAGAGAGCGTTGCCGGAGAGGGGGGTGCCGGCTGCCAGTCACAAACATATTTGGGTGGTTCCAAATATGGTTGGAGGCTGGAAGTGGGTGGGATTCAGGTCTGGTCCGGGGCACCCAATAATAGTCCATGGGGACGATTCGGTTCGGGCGAATCATCTCTTGATGTATAACTCAAGGAAAATTTATACATCAAGTGATGTAACTCCTTGGTTCTAAAGCAAAATATGAATGTAAACTTCTCGTACTGTCGTACTTATAAATAAGGAATCAGTTGTCTGCTCACAATGTTGCACGATTCCGCCATACATCATCATAAAATACTCTTCGAAATAATCGTTGAGTTACAAACTTTTGAATCTGAAACTGATACCATGTTGACAATCGTAAGTCATCATGGGGCTTCATTACAAAAACTTTTGAGACCTACCCCTGATGCTAATACAAAGAGGATTCGAAATTTCGTTAAAAAGTACGGACAGCGCTTGAAGAAAGCCTAAAACGGTTGAGGGAACTATATCATAAGGCATCTTTTGAATTTTAAGTTGAAAATTGCTTGAGCACAAGTACAATTTGGAAGGCGCTTTGCCATGCCATTAAGGACTGAATGGAATGATTCAGGCAAGACAAGGGGAAGGGATTGACCGTCAATGTAATTGCGTATGTAACATGATTATAAGTATTTGATGTAATATGACTATATAATTAAAGCTGGGTGAAACAGTTTAGGTGTAAAGATTAAGCGAGGGTGATGCCACGGTAGTCAAGGTTGTCCAACACGTTATCGCTCTCATCGTAAATGGTGGCATCGCTCAGCCCGCTCAGCAGCCGGTCGACGGCGTACTTGACGTCGGAGTCATACCCAGCGACGTACTTCAGATAGCGGGCTTCCTGGCGCCGTACCACATAGGCACTGAACCGCTTCAGCTCCTCCGGTGATTGGTGAGCGGAAGAGTAGCTCTGGTAGCGCACGGGAGTCTCGCCAAGCTCCTCCTCCTCTTCCACTGACACAAGACGACGGGACGCACGAGCCCGGGACATCTTGGTTTCGTACTCAAGTTGCGTGATCAGAAGCAAGTGGCGCGAGCTGAACAGCCGGTCGAGCTGAGCGCCGAGCTCACGAGCGTACATCAGCGGCGTTACCAGCTGGACGGAATCGCTGCGTGGGATCGCAGCCTTAGTCGCCAGCAGCATACGAATGGAGCGAAGTTCTTCGGGGGTGAACATCTCGGAGACGTCACGATCGAAACGGGTGACAAAATCTTCAACGAGATGTTCAGCTTGGTGGTCAGAGAGCTCCAACGAGGTGTCGTTGATGGTTTTCGACGGTTCTGTGCCAGGCTCGTAGTGAGGCGTATCGTCATCGCTGTCGTTATCTTCTTCTTCTTGAGCGGTGGTATCATCATCACCTTCATTTTCATCGTCGTTGTGATCTTCGAAGGTGGCACGTGTGTTCTCTTCAATCAGAGCTTCTGTCAAGTCAGCATTGGCCACGAACAACAGCAGATTGTCGCGTGTGATCAGGATCCAGTTCAGCCCACCATCACTATACATGTTGGCATTAAACAGGTCCGATGTCGGGAGGGTAGATTCCGGCATGATTTCCGAAATTGCCAGCCCGTCGCTATTATGCCACGGTAAGTCCACTTTGAAGATCAGCTTCCGCTGAAGAGTAGGCTCAACTGAACCCATCAGCGTCAGCGACGGAATCATGGACACAGGAACAGGCGGGGGCGCAAGGCTTGCCGGAGCAGTGGCTGCAGATAATTGTGGCTGTGGCGGTTTCGAAAGCCCCATGGGGGTGCCAATGATGGGAATCACCGCACCTGTTGCCGATACCGGAGCCGAAGCCATAGCCGGAGTCGAAGCATCATTAGGGGCAAGAGCCATGAAGGAAGGCCCAGGCGTCGAGGTAGCAATTATATTCGCATCACCCGAAGTATCAGCCTTAGTAAGCACCAGGCCCATACGAACCACATTCGGTTCTCGAGTGGAGTCCTTAGTACTCAGTTGTCTCAGCGTCGGTGCCGTCAGTCGTCTTGCCAGTGGCGTTGCCGAGAGCATCAGCCCCAGCAGAGCGTCGGTGAACTCGTCGTCTTCAAGGCGGGGGCGACGAGTCTCAGCCGAGGCCATGGGTTCGGCGCTGGCGTGAACGGTGGTGGTTGCAGCGATGGGAACAGCGGCAGTGACATTTCTCACCCGAGTGGTACGACTGCGCGACGGCAACCTCGCCACCAACGGTGTCGTCGGCTTGCTGGTAACAAGGTCGGGCTGAGCCAGGTACAAGTGCTTGTATTCATGGCGTTGGCCGCGAGGGATAAACGTTGAGTCCAAGTTCTTTTGCGCCAGTTCCAGACGAGTGAAACCCTCGGCAAGTTGGTCGGGAACCAGCTTACGCTTGATCAGCATCAGCAGGAAGAGCAGGCCGATGAACAGGCGCCGCTTGCTGCCCATCAGCGCCAGCAGCGACAGAACTGCCGACATCGACTGGGGACGAGGCTTAGCGGGCTCCACAGTAGTCGTCAGCAGCAGCATCGCCTTCGGAGTGGCCGCCATCAGTTGACGATTACGGGCCTTGGGCGTTTCGGCCATCTCAGTACTCAAAAACTGTTGCAGGGGGTATACCGTGGGGCTGAACAGTTGCGAGGCGATGTCGCGATTATCGTGGCACCATTGTGTGAGCTGGTGGCTGCTGAGATTGATCAAGGCTCGACTGGCTCCGTTAGCGGTGTCGAAGGCCAGTTTGTGGGTGTCGTTGACCATCTTACGCACGAATTTGGGTAAGTCATGACTGGATATAAGCCGTTGGTCCACCACTACGTTCCCCAGTCGCAGTTGGGCCAGCACCACGAGACAGTCACGATCATCCTCACAGATGTGCGCCGTCATCACTAGCCGAAGGTGATGGTTAGCTTCGAAGGCAGCGGCAATCTCCAGCGGGTCAAGCACCTCAAGATAAAGTGCGAATGGCAGCTTCAGCAGCTCCTCGCCGTAAATGTCGGCAGTCTGACTAGCGAAATAGGCACGAGCACCGCTAGTATCGCTCAGCAAACTGCGGCTTAACCGCAACGGGTGGGCTTTATCCACCACCATCAGCTTCGCCACCACCTCAATGATGGTATCGGGCAGCGCTGGCCGTTTACCTCCCGATACTGGGAGCACGGCGTACACTTCACCGAAGATGGGCTTTGCGCCGGGGTGGACTCGGAACCCGGACTCGGTAGTACTCAAAAAGCGAATGAGCGTTGCCCCTGATTGGTCATCAAACAGCAGCACCATACAATCGGCGGCACGGCCCCAACACCTGACGGTCATAGCGGGGATTACCCCCAGTGTCGGCAACGGCTTCTCGTTCACCAATGAGTGCATCAACGTGTCCAGCACGTACACCGGCAGCTCTCCCGTGGCGTATAACGGATCGCTAACAGTGAGCCACATCAAGCAGTCGGAGAACACCACAAGTACGTCGATGGCTCCGTCGGAGACCCGGCGTAACTCAAAGATCCCCACCACTTTGCGATGGAGCCAGCCGTGGTCAAGTGCCAGCGGCCAGTTGGAGGCGAGATCGGCGAGCATTTGGCCAGAAGGGGTGAACACGCGTGACGACGGCGCCAGCGCCGGCGCCGGGCCGTCGTCGCCAAAGGCGTCGATAATATCGACACAGGCGCGGTGGTAGCCGACACACTGGCGGCGTAGGCGCTCGTCGTCGCCACAGGCATCGAGCACCATGGGGACAAGGCGGTCAAGCAACATCTTGAGCTTAGGGAGCTCCCCGACGGCACCCAGGATCACCAGGTCGATTTCCGCTACGGAAAACCCACCACGATTGATATCAGGGTTAGTAAAGATTTCTGGGTGGTGGTGGCGGTAAAAGTGGTCGAATCGGCGGTGGAAGTGTTTGAGGTTGGCCTGGTGACGGATGAACGGCTTGTAGAAGTAGGGGATAATCAACGCCATAGCTTTGAGCACTTCGGCAGCTCCATGGGGTTCAGCCTTAACGAGAGCATCGTGGAGGATACAATTGACCCGGGTGATTTCGTCGACGGTGGGAGGGAAAATGCGGTTGATGCGCGCGACTTTCGCCTCCAGGTCGTTGTTTACGAAGAATAGTCGAAGCGGGACAATGAAGTCCTGGAGCAAGTTGACGAGGTTCATGGTGTAGTTGGTTTGCACCTGGAGAAGCTCGTGGAGGGTGTGGTTGAGCTCGTCCGTCACTAGGAGGGAGTCAGTAGCGGTAGTGGGAGGGGTGTATGTAACGGTAATCGTCTGTGGGGAGTATTCGAGTAACGGGTCAAACAAGTCGACGGCGGAGCCCAAGTGCTCGAGAAGGGCGTCCAGCGTTGGTGGGTACACGGTGTCGACCACGTAGGCCGGCACCCTGTGGGATACTGCCAACCCTAACCGCAAAAGCAGCTGACCCACCACTTGCGGCAGTCTCAGGGAAGAGCCAGTGCGCAACTTCTGCATCGACAGCGCCACCTCGCCGGCATTGGTCTCGTCGAACGCCATGTTCACCGTTAAACCGGTACAATTATTGGCCAAAAGCGAGAAGTTTTTGAGCAACGTCACCGCTAATGCTTGCCGGAGTTTCAGGTGGCGGTACTCAGGGATCAAATTGTCGCTGGCCACAGCAAAACGGGACCGTTTATCAAGCATGAGGTCGTTGTAGCAAGTAACGCCATACTTCAGCACCAGCCGGGTACAGAGATGGCCCAGGGCGACGTTTTTGAACACCATGATCACCACGGGCCCAAACACCGAGGGATCAACGCCGATAAAATAGTGGGCGTGCTCGATCACTTGCGGCCAGCGCCCAGAGTCGTTATGGGGTACTCTGGCGCCGAGACCGCCTCTCATTGGTCCCAAAAGGTCGCTCTTCTTCGTGGTGGGAGCTGATGACAGCTCCGAAGCTGGTGGCGCCTGGGACGCCCGCTCGACATCGCCACTGGCGTAGCGGTGGTATATCAGCATTCGCCAGGGACGTAAGGGAGATTAGACGGGGAGGAAAATCGACAGTATCAGAAGGTGGGGGTTGAAATGGTTGTCGGTAGGGGAGCAAATGCCAGGGAGATTCTGGCGGGTTTTAACGTCTGGGGGGGTTGCCAGGGCTGATCCACGAGTGTTTGTATATGTTTTTCCTCGATTCGGGTGAAGGGCACATGCACATCGCGAACCACTGGGGGCTTGGGTGCAGGAGCGAAACAATCAGTGACACCGCGACTAGCTGTTGCTTCTGACCCGCGGGTAGCTGCCGGTAACTATTGCCGGCAGTGACGGAAGCAGCAGCACGCTAGGTATACATAGGGGAGTTTACTGGGTAATAGAAGCAGGTGAAGGACCAGTAGATGGTAAAGAGAAGGCTAGTAGCATCTCGATGGACAGGGAATGATGGCGGGCGATAGAGCAGGTCTAGAGTGTCGGGACATGCCCGCCTCGTGTTGAATGCTCTCCTGATACCATCAGTGTCGGAAACGTGAGGGCGAGAGTTGTGGGGCCACAGCCTGCGAACAAACAGTCACGCATACGTACGCTACGAAAAGTTAATGACGTAGACAATAAGGCAACTATAACGATCGGTACGATGTTGCTGGTCTAGGGGGTGGGTCGTATCATAATAGTTATGGTGGTGATACTCGCTTCCTGTCTAAGAATTCTAGAAACTATGGTTTTATGAGGCGGTGGTGATGAGGCGGGCTTAGAATGAGACAAGCGAAGTGGGAGCGGCTGTACGCCAGATGTTCCGGATGACAATTGGGAAACTGGGGTCGATGATGGCTGATTCACTACCATTGACATCACGGATATCGATTTGACCATCCTTTTTCAGTAGGTTTGGTTGTATACTACTCATGGTGCATTTTTCGGGGTTAGCGTCTGGTGCGTTTCGCACACGTCCCGGTACCCTAAATTTCACTCGCACCCCGCATGGCTTCCGCATTCCTTAACACCAACTGGTAACCGTCCCCACCGCTACCAAACAACCACACAACTACCGCGCACGCGACCCTTCGAGCAGTGCCCGACGATAGTTCTAAAATATGTCAGCAATTACCCCTAGCATGCTATCATCTAATATTCCCATCATCACTTGAAACACAACTACGTGTTCTCTCTACTCACACCCCCATCAAGTATCGTTTCTAGCTTCCTTCTCTGTTGGCCTTTTCGCGGTTGAGGCATTGGCGTGCGGAAGAACATCGCCTACGTACGAGAGACACGCGAAAAGTTCGAGGGGGTGCGCACATTCCCCAACCAGAATGTGATCGATGGAAAATTTTTGCATGACGTGGAAACGGGGGAACGTGGAGAGAAACGGGGTATACCGAGGATCGTAGGGCGGCGACGCGGCGACGCGGCTATTTCGCCGATGCATTAGTGTCACGGTGAAGACGTCAGCGAAGACGCTAGCAATTAAGCTTAACTATTAACCTACTAGTATTGACATGGCACATGATATTTCTGATTACGCAAATGATTAAATACTCCGCTTAGACGTGACGTTCGGCAAACGACTGGATCATCCCCACCTCGCTCTCGTCGTACTCGCGCACGGTGACCTTGTCACCCTCAGCCACGGTGTTGGCCTGGATGAGTTGCTTGCGAGGACGCTTCTTGGCGATGACGACGTCGCGGTACTTGGCGTAGTCGCCGACGTTGGTCTTGTCGGCGTAGTAGGCAATCCCTTCGGTGTTGCCGGTGCACTTGTACACGTGGAGATCTTGCAAGAGCTCGCCAAGGGCGTCGACGGCAGGTTGGCCAAGCTTGTCGCGGTGGACGGTGATCACAAGATCGTCAAAGTCGGCGGCTTGCGAGTCAAGCAGCACCACACCGGCCTGGTGCAATTGTTTCAAAATGGCAAAACGGGCCTGGGAGTGCGGTTGCCCCCACTTCTTCAGCAGCGGGTCCCAGAGCTCCAACGCAGCGATACCAGCGCGAGCCATAAGCACGGTGGCAATGAAAGTGACGTCGTCAAAGTCGGCTTCGGCAATACCGAAGATAGGCAACACTTCCCGCGGCAGCTTGAGGATCAAGTAGAGGGCAACAAGTTCAGCGCGGCACTCTTCGTAACTGCCGGCAGTCAGACCGAACACCGACCCCCAGGTGTCGCTGGGACCGTACCACGTCTTGTAGGGAACCGAGTCACGGTCGAAATTGTACTTGCCAGGGCTAGTTTCCTGTAAAAGCTTACCGGTACCGTGGCCCAACAACTCGTGGAGACCGACTTGCACTTCAAAGGCGTCGTCACGCCACTTGCGGAAGAGTTCCTGGTCTTCAGGAGTCAAGAAAGTAATCACTTCTTCCTTCTTGGGGTTCTTGGGGTTGGCACTAAGCACATTACCAAGCGACACGTTCTTGAAGCCAATGGTGAGTCTGACGTCATCGTAGTTGGGGATGTTGATACCCGCAGGGATACCCGAACCAGCAAACGTCAACACTTCCAATGAAGTAAAGTCAGGAGGAGTGAACTTGTCCTTCTCCAACGCCAGATCCCAGGGCAATTGAGGGATGAACTTACCCGCCAGAGCCACAAGCTCAGCAAACTTAGCGGTACGGTCTTGGTTGACCATCGCCACTAAACCCTCCCATTCACCTCTCACCCCCAGCGGGTCACGGTAGGTTTCAATAAAACCAATGTTAGATTCGACGAGAGGACCGAGATCCTTCACCCACTGGATCTGCGAGTCCTTGTGGGCGTTCATCGACCCGGTGTTGAACGATTCGATGTAGTCACCGATCATCTTGCGCTGGGTGTCGTTGGCCACGTACTTTTGCGCCTGCTTAAGTTCATCGACAATGTGAGCAAACTCAGTGGCGTGGTCACCAAACTTGAAGGTGATGGTAGCTCCCTTGTAGGAGATTGAGTCAGGGTAGTAGTCAGGGGTGGTGGCAGGGTCAGCCAGCGCCACGTGGACGACAAACTGGTTGTCGCCGACTTTTTCGACGCGAGTGTTTTCCGGCATGATCCCCTTATCGGCCAAGGCAGAGTTCACCGTCTCAATCTCTTGCTTCGTAGGTACTTGGTCGCCGGGGTAGTACAGCGACACATGACCTTGGTCTCTCCAGCCAAGCAAGCCAGGTTCGGTGGAAAACAACGATTCCTTGACCAATTGGTAAAGACGAGATACTTCGTCGTCACCCACCTTAGCAATGAGCTCGTCAAACTGTTCGGGAGTCAAATTGGGGATAAACTTCTTGTCACCAAACGACTTGAAGTTACCCAAGTTACCCAAGAATTGCAGCGCGTACTCCAAGTAGGCGGTAGCATTGGGGCCCAATTGAGTCACATAACCTTCGTTATCCTTAGGCTGACCCAATTTGTCGTGTACTCTGAGAATCAAGTCGTAGATCGCCTCCAGCTCCGGCAGCACCGACCGCAACACCGCCCGCGTGCCCCAGTGGGACGCTCTCAGCAAGTGGTGGGCGTAGAGCTGTTCCTTCGACGAGGGCAACTGGTCGAAGTGCTTCTTGGCGCTCAAAAGAACGATGGGCGCTTCGCTGTCGGCGAGAAAGGTGGAAGCCATGGTGGCGAACGGCACCAAAAAAACTGTGGGGTCAAATAACGGTGGCCGCCAGCGAGCGGAGTGCACATAGTGACTGATCGCGTGGGTTGAGACTTTAGTGAGCCGCACGAGTGTAAATCTCATCTGACTGACAGGTTTCTACCATAGTTCATGACTGCTGCCACGTCGACGCTGGCCAGTGAAGCCGAAGCAACCCCAATCGAGACTCCGGTGGATTCTACTCAGCCGCAGTCGGAGTTGGCCGACGATAGCGAGTCTGACGATGAAGACTTTGACCCCAACGCCGATACTAAAGCCGCCGCTGATGACGACGACGACTCCGACGATGGCGAAGCGGTGCCTGACTATTCCCATTTAGCGTCAGATGTGTCCCTTATTAAGACTCGCCGTCAACGGTACCAGGAAACGCTGAAACGAGAGTACCTGGGTCTCGTCACAGCCCCCACGTCTTCCGTCGATGTCGATGCCATCTTCGCTGAACTTTCGCTGGGTAAAGCTCCTAGCCGCACCGAATGGTTGGAAATTCTGAAACTGGCTCCAGAAACGACTAAGGAACCTACTCCTAAGCCACAACCATTGACTCAAGACGAAAAGGATCTTCAGCCGCAAACGATCACCATTAAGCTGACCTACGCCTTTGCCGGTAAAATCGTCACTGAAACCAAAACTGTCGATGCTAATCTGGCCGAAGCTAAAGCTTACCTCAACTCCACAGCTCGTATGGCTACTTATGACGAAGATAAGCCCTACCGCCTGTTTGTGCCCGTGATGCGGACGGTCCCTGGAGAACTGGAACCGCGAGAGCTTCGCATCAAGCTTAAACGACCGCTGCTTATCGATAAATTCCTCTCGGGATCGGGGAAGAAGATCAAGTTGTCGACGCTTGAGAAATCGCGGTTGGATTGGGCACTGTTTGTCGATAAGCGGAACATCCAGGACGAATTGAAGATTGGTAATCGTGACGGTTACTTAGAGAAGCAAGACTTCTTGGGCCGTTTGGATGCTAAGCGTGATGAGAACTACCAGAAGGCTAAGGATGAAGACCGCCGCAAACGGTTTTTACTCCAGCAGCAACAGCAGAGTTGAACGAAAGAATTCAAATTCACAACTTCAACTATTGCTTGAATGATGGTTTGCTCTGATGTTTTGCGACTGTGTGAAAACTAAAGTCGTCGTTATGAAAACCTGGCGAGTCAACTTGTTGATCGTTCATCGAGTATTTTGTCAAATGGATTTTTGGTTCTAGACTCTATGAGAGCTTTATCAAACTAAACTGACCATGAAACTGACTGCATGAACGTTATAGTTTATTCCACTCCCCTCAGTGTTTCAGGACAATAAGGTTTTGACGTGACACATATAAATGTTGGTGATTTCCTTTCATTTTCACATCGATACATGCCCCACTCCAGCATACAATCTTATGTGATCCCTGCTTCCGCTGTTGAACTGGTTTACTATGAGTCCATTACGCTAACGCATCGGTTTCAAGTCCTTTTACATAAACTTGATAACGAAAAAGACCAGCGGGCCTTGACTAACTATATTAAATGCGTTGGCAAAGTACACTTCAAGTACTTACAGAATGCAAAGATCTCGCCAACCTCGACATTTCGGTTGATCGATTACATCAAACAGTGTGAGGCGAAACAAGGCTTTCCGGAACCCTCTGTTGAGATAATTCTGAAGTTGCAACGTGAGCTCAATGAGTTAAGCAGAAATTTCCACTGGAAACTTGCATCGATTACAAAACCCGACAGCGCCTTGATACACGACGACATTGACGAATATAACCAACAATGGTTGGCATACGAAGACAGATTTGAGGCATTGATGAACTCTCATAAAGAAGCTGTGACAAATCTTGTCTGTGGGCTTTATGGAGTTGTTAGTGACGAAACTCTTCAAGAATGTATCAAAGCATACGCTAAGCAGGAGTTACAATTGCGAAACCGGAACGACAATCTTGAGAAAGACTACTTGCAAGTAGCCTACGAAACGTTGATAGGTGCTCGCATTTCCGACGCTATCCTCAAGGAAGCGCTGTTCTATTTGAAGGAGGAAGTGAATAAGATCTGGCAAAAGGAGATGGGGCTCGCGTCGTCTAAGCCGACGCTCACCCGCAGCCTAAGCTACTAACTCATGATCTCACTTGTATAGATTATAATATGGAGTCTACGAATTGTACAAAAGAATCAACTCCTCATAAAACCACATATCTGGAATTACTCTTGACATTCGGCATAATCGATCTTTTCGGTGGATAAGGTCGAAGTAAGCGTCGTCGACGTCGATATCATGATTTGCCAGCGTCTCGTAGTGTAACGTTGTATCGGCTTGATTTGGTAGTCACTCTACAGTCATCAACCAAAGATCAGGGCGCATGGCACCAAATATCACTTTACTAGCAAATCTTTGTTCCTCAAAAAATCTTACGGCCGTACGATGGTGGTAGTCGATATTCACCACTTACCTATCAAATTTACAAATTCGTCGATAATTGTAAGACTTTCCCGTAAAGACCTAGATTGAACCAGTAAATAGCTACTACTACCCAATACATAAAATTGATTGCATTACGATTTCCTAAGTATAGCTTGTAGGCCTCAATTTCCCTCGATCTCCCGCACTGTGATTTCCCCTCGATGTCTCAGCCATCGCCTGCAGGAGCGCGGTCTCCGAGGGAAAACTTGTGATTCGACACCATGAACGTCCCACCAACCCCCACCGTCCCCATGTCCGACGCCACCACGTTGAAGCGCAAGGAGCGGGAAGAAGAAGAGGTCGTCGCCCAGACGCTGTACGGCTCGTCGACAAAGCGCATCGCCCTCGACCTGGAGCAGCTCAACCAGCAGCTGGAGCGGGAAGACCTCGAGCGAACCGCCCCCGCCATCGGCGACAACGACCACGAAATGGAGTACGACAACTATGCCGACGAGCTGAGACCGGTGGCCCATAAAGATTCTGACCCCACTTACGTCCTGTTCCGCATGTACTGCCAGGTTAAAGAGGCGCTGACCATTGTCGGCAAACGCGGCGATACCATCAACCATATCCGTGAAAAAGCAAACGTCCGCATCAACGTGCTGGAGAACTTGAAGAACGTGCCTGAGCGGATCGTCACCGTTCGTGGTCCTGCGGAAAACGTCGCTCGAGCGTTTGGCTTGATTACTAGGGTGTTACTTGATGAACCTGAAGATGAACCTTATTCGGTGATGCTGAAACAGTACCAGCTTAAATTGCTCATCCCGCACCCATTAGTGGGCTACGTCATCGGTAAACTGGGGCTGAAATTCAGAGAGATCGAGGAGAAACTGGCGGCTAAGTTAAAAGCCGCTGAACAACCGTTACCGTTCTCCACCGACAGAATCCTCAGCATCACCGGGGTGGGTGACGCCATCCACATTGCCGTATACTACGTGGCCCAGGAGATCTTGGAACGCAAGGACTGCCTCAAAAAGCTGAAGGTGCTCTACTACAACCCGGTCAACTTCCACCATGCCAACCTGCAAATGACGATGATGCCGCCCAACCCCATGGCCAACGTCAACCCCATGACCATGCAACCCCGCCACGACATCTACAACAAGCCTCCAGTGGCTAACTACAACTTCGGCATGATGTTCCAGCCAGCAGTGCAACCGCCGTTTGTGCTGCCACCAGCAGCGGTACTGCCTGCACCTGCGGTGGTACCGCCTCAACAAACCTACCAAGATGAACACGGAAACACTTTAATTGGTGAAGTAATCATCAACCCGCCGGTACCGCTGGGCACCTCTGCCGATAAATTTAACCAGGACGTGTTTGTTGCCAACACCCTGATCGGGCTGGTGATCGGCAAAGGCGGCAACAACATCAAACATATCCGCGAGAACTCGCAGTGCACCTACGTGCGGATCGAGCCCGACAAGGGCCAGTCGATGATGATTGGCGGCAAGGGGCTCACCAACGTCCGTAAGCTCACGTTGACCGGGACATTACAGGCGATCAACACCGCGGTCTATTTGATTAATCAGCGGATCCAAGTGGACAAGGAACGAAACGCTCACCCATAGAAGCTTCTACTACTCCTCCCTCCGAGACTTTCTTCCCCTCGCTTCTTCCTCCATTACCCCCCCATCCCCCTACTACT